TCTAGGAGGGATCGTGAACACATCGCCTGTCTTGTTCTAGAAGTCACGCCCGACAGAGTACTCTGATGGGGAAATCGAGTCCGATGGTCATTCCACAATCGGAGGCAGAAAATATTTCTCTGTGACTCTTTGCATGCATAGACATGTCGGGGAAAAGATACATCGGTCGCCGAATTTCGCGCCGACCGCTTTCCCCGACGTAGCGGAATGTATCGGCGCGCCCTCCGTCGCCCAGGCTCGAACAGGCGAATATCCGAGAATTTCGAGTGTACGATCGACGATCTTTATGTGTTTCAAGCTCTTTTGCCACAATAACATGGGGGTTTCAACACAGTAATGGAATCCCGGCCCCGTGGAGCAGATTCGGGGAGGCATACCGGAGGATCCCGAACCGTCAATCCTTGCCGAAGGCTCTCCGAAATACGAGCCTGCTGCCCAAGCCGCGATTAGAGGAGTTCAAGTTCCATGCAGAGCCCTTATTTGCTAACGTGAGTGGGGGAAAGATTCTCCCTGGAACAGGACCTCGAGATCAATGCGAAGGGCGACAGTTCGACGTCCGAGTTGTCACCAACGGGAAACCGGCATAAAAATATTTTCGATCATATTTCCTTGAGAGTGTGCTTTGTCCAACCTGCTCCCTATGATAGGCTTCCGGGGATGCTCCCCCGCCAATACCCAGGGAGCGTCCCGAAAAAGCTTCTCAGTCCCCTATGAGTTAAACAATATTAGAACAGACTTTTGTGCACCATGTTGAATAGGGGGGAAGTGATCCGGGTGCTTGGGAGCCAATAGAAGAGTCAGCTCTCATCACTCCAATCTACAGACGCCCTATTGAACGCATAGAGCCTCCGGTGAGCATCGATGCGATTCTATAATTCTCCGCTTGACGAGATGAAGGATCCCGATGCGATATTTTTTTGTCTGAGTCTCCCTGTCCATCCCGATGTTTCTCCAGGAGACTCTTCCGTGGAACTCCGCCTTCGCGGGCTCATCAACTTCTGACCCTGATAGCGGGGGCGAGAATCATAGTACGGGGAGCATCGGGGAGCTCATCGACCGCCAATGAGTTTATTGTGTGTATCTTCGCAAAGACTGATTGTGGATGACGCTGTCCGAAAGAGAAGCAGCATTCCTTATCCACCCGCTGAAGCGATTTCTCGAAAGGTGGCCGAGGACATCGAGCATTGGCTACGAGGTTCTAGTCGAGAAAACTGCTTAGATACCATGAATGGCGAACTCGATTCGGTGTCCCCATGATACCTGCGCCGAGGGTCACGAGCTGCCATTGTTTCCCCGGATCCCCCGCTGATTGTGAGTTGTCGGGAGCAAATCATTCTCAAATCCTCATGTATCAGCAGATCTGTCGAGGTCTCATCCGCTGGCTAGGTGTCTCATTCTCAGCCCAATAGCGTTTTTTCCAAGCATTGTGATACTGCTGTCGATCGAGTGTGTCCAGAAGTCGCAGCACCGCAAACCCAGTCGACTGCTTCGAGAACATCATAGAGAGATGACTTCCCGGCTTAGACTGATCAGCAGACCATCATAGAACGATTGATCAACAATTGACGCCTCAAAGTTCTAGATTCCGATGTCCTTGACCCTGACTTTTTAACTTCTATTGTCGGAGGGTATGGTCTCGAGAAATCTTGAGCGACAGAGCATTCGGAAACTGTTGAATGGGGAAGACTTTCATATTCACGGAAAACGCATCATATTGGTAGCTTTGTAGAATTAGTCAAGGTCAAGGTCAATTCGTGATTTACCATGTCCCATGAATCGCTGGGATACATGAAGCATCCAACCTGAGAGGTCAGATCCGATGGGCGAGAAAGGACGTATACATCGGACAGCCTCGTCCATGAGCTCGATCGAGTTGGTCTTTCAGGCCCCATCGCGTATACGACGATACTGGCGTCTGCTCCAATTCAACCGCCTGAATTTCGCCATTCCAGTTGGTTTTACGGGTGAGATTCAACTTCAATCAATGAGGCCCCGAAGTATCTTCCGGAAAGCAGTCAATCCTATTCTTGGAGAGGTCGAATTTCTTCGATTTCCACAGGTCTGTCAGTGAATCAGAGCTGATACTCCAGATCTGCAGGAGGCAGTTCTTGAGCTCGCGCCGGGAGTATTCCGCGTTGAGGTTCGTCTGTGTATCGTTCTTGTAGATCTCCAGGCTTCCCGATTCCCCAAAGCTTGTGGGTCTCTTGAGTTCTTTGGAATGAATCGAAAACATGGTTTGTTCGCGGAAACTGTTGACAAATATCAAGTTGAGTTCACCGACTAATATCATTGAATGTATGGGCAAACGCATGATTCATGGCCACAACTATTCAGGTCACGACTTCGTTCATGAGTGCTCCTTCATTCTTTCAGTAGGGCCCCAACTTAGAGATGGGGCCTAATTTTTCCCCCACGAACTTCTTATTTGACTTCACGGCACACATTTGGGATATCTGACCGGACTTTGTGAAGACGGTATACCAAGGAGTGTTGTACGGCGGTCAGATGGACTCGCGGACGCTCGAACGTCGTCTGTCTGCAGGTTCGTTGCTGGTTCGTAAATCTTGGGGCGAGAGATATGTCATCAGGGCGATTCGAACGCAAGCATCGCGACGGCGACGTTGTTGGTAGTCTTCATAGAGGGGATCGCATTCTATGCCCGGAGCGCGGGAACAGACTCTTATTCCCTTTTGTTGAATATTGTGCTCAGTGCGTCATCCCGTATGATCTTGGCCCGTCGTCGGACACAAGATTCGCGAGCTCGGTAGACCGTCTCGGTGTGGAGCCGAATCGTGAGATCGTGAAGGGACCCGCCGCCCCAAGTTGATGCTGCATTAATTTGAGATCGCACAAATCTCTCGAATACCTTGCAGACGCAGTGTGCGAAATGGGAGAGCGGTAGTACCGCTGAAGAATCTGGAGGAGAGAAGGCTCGGGCGCCTCGGAATCCCTTGAGAGAAAGGCAGTTACTCCTGAGAACCGCTGAGACGACATTGCTTAGGCTTTATCAAATCCCTCTAGCGAACGGTGGGGTCGCAAAGAGCCGCGAAGAACAGGCTCTTACATATTATGTTATAACGATCCCGGCGAACCAATGCGGCTGTATTCCGATTTGATGGGTCAAATGAATCTCTAGCGGCTATTATGTATCCCCATGGTAATCGTACTGTTAACGATGCCGCTGAATTCACTCCCGAATCGACAACGAAACGAAAGAGAAGTGTGTGATGGTTGGCTCGTCGGCGTCGTTGCGGAACGGACGACTCGTTTCAATGACCCTTATTGCGGCAGTGAAGAAATCCCGCCGGGAAGCGATAGGTCGTCTTTCGTTGGGCTTCGAGAGCTACGTGCACATACGTGTAGGAGGCCTTAGATGCTCTCCCCTAGTACGCGATCGAGCGCGTCACTCCAAGAAGAGCAATTGAGTATTCAATGAGGGCGGACCCGGGCCTCCGCCGTCGTTTTCCACTCAGGCACGTTTCGACGAATCAAATCTGGCGGATTCATCGAGGGCTGACGCTCCACGTGGAATAGATCGATCCTACCACGAGCCCTTCATTCCGGAAGATAGGCCCCCGTTTCCTCGACTCTCCGAAATTCATAAGGTCTTCACAATCCGCAATGACGCAATAGAGAATCTCCAAATTGGAATGAAACGCGTCCTGTGAAACATATACATACGTATACCTGGTCACTACAGACTCATCCAAATCGGGACTGATTGCTGCTGGCGAATCGAGTTGTGAGTTCGAACGGTCCGCACTCCTTGCCTAAGTCTGACGGCGCCGACAAGTTGAGCGTTAATGGGAGGCGATAAGGGCGGTGCGTTTTTTCAGTCCCTGATGTCAACTCGCTCCACATTATCCACTGTATTACCGTGTTTTCTCCAGCAGTAGGGGATTCCCTAATGGAAGGGCACCTGCGTGGAGATCGAGACATAAACCGGTATTCTCTAATGACTGGGCAGCCTCTATTAGAAGTATGCGTTATTAAGTACCCCTTTAGTATGCGCGCCCATGGGGGAACGTACAACCCTGGACTGATTGGAAAACACACGGGCATCCTCTATTAGAAGGGCACCCTCTGATAGACGGACGAGGTTCGAGGGTATCGGGAAGTAAACGGGCACGCCCATCTTATACAGAAAATGCGGTATACCATTCATTCAAATCCACGGAAATTATTCATTCTCTCGGATCGTCAGGGAAAAACTCAGTGGCAACTGATAGTAAGGACACTCTTCTGAAAGTCTGACTGTGGAGTGTCGACATAGGAATAGAATAATATACCACGACCCAACAAGAAAGAAGAAGAGAAGAAGAAGCGGAGAAAATCCATATCGTTTCGTATGGAAAATCAATACGCATACGTTTATGAACGGGGTGTGTAGAGGGAGTCTGTTGGGGCATTCCTTCATTCTAAACTGAACTTGTCCGAAGCTGTTTGAATCTTCTTCGGAGAAGAAACATCGGATCGTTGAGGGGAGCGGCCCTACTCCGCGCTACGGCGAGGAACAAAATGTGAGGGCAACACGGCATTCTTCGCTGAAGCGACAAGAGCACTGAGAGTTCCAAATGAGGAGGAAAGGCTTTTGTCATGATTCATCAGCGTTACGAAGCGTCGTAGAGGTTTCATTCCGATTTGTCTGTTAATATCGATTGTTCGATCTGACGAGCAATGGTGTGGCCCCGAAGTGCGAGCGGCCCCGAGCCTCCGATCGGCGAAATGTACAGCGAGCTCCACTCGGGTATGATGATCCCGCGATACCCAGGTTAAGAAAACGGTGCATGCTAGGTAACGTGTGCTCGAGCAGTATTCGAATCAGCCTACCTAAGATTATTCCTTTGTCAGGCTATACAGATGATCTCACTCATTTGGCTCGATGAGAGTAATTTATTGCATGATTAGAGAGGAATCTCCCAAGTGAATAACATGTATCAAATTATAATTGTGCTGTTTCCATGACGGATCTCGACAAGTTTTGAGCTTGGAGCTGACATTTACGTGTGACGCTGCCGTTGAAGTCGGACGCTCGCGACGATGGCCGCCATTTCTGCCCTGTCGATCATCGAAGAATCATGCTGCTGGCGAAGGGCAGCAGCTGGGTCCCTATTCTGGGAGGACTTGGTCCCGGTCGCGCTCTGCCTTTCATAGAACATGGTCGCGTTTCTCTTGGCATATTTGGACCCCGTAGTCTGAGGTGCACCTTTGCTTGGCTTAGGTTTCGAGATCAGCGGCGCGCCCCTATTCGCTGTTTGGCAGCTCGCAGCCCGCGGTGCGGAATCCCGTTGCTCCAGGGGTTTTGTCGTCGGAAGCTCGTCCCGTTTCGCTGATTGGATTTTCCGGGCTTGTGGGGCGATCTCCCTGAGTTGTCTAGGTTTCCTGGTCGGGGTTGCGCTGTTTCGTTCCTCTCGGATCCTCTGGGTCGGGCCTTCCTCTCGTGGTTTCATTGGCTCCGTGGCCAGGTATTTGTTCCTGCGTACAGCTGACTTCTCCTTGCTCAGACGTGCGTCCTTCCGTGGATCCTTTCTAGCGGATGCGGCTTTCTGTGGTGCCTCTACCGCGGGAGTGGTCTCCTGCGACTTTGCTTCAGCGGGAGTTGTCTCCTGCGACTTCGCTCCAGCGGTAGTGGTCCCCTGCGACTTCGCTCCAGCAGGAGTGGTCCCCTGCGACCTCGCTCCAGCGGGAGTGGTCCCCTGCGACCTCGCTCCAGTGGGCTCGGCCTTCTTCGTCTCATCGAGCTCTTTGACCGCTAAAGAGAACTCGCGGAGCAGATTCCGGGTACATTTGGCGACGACCAAGAAGGCCTCATATCGCCCGGATTTGCTAGTGATGTAGTGCTCATCCGGCCTCAATTCCAATGAGAAGTCAGAGGACGGAGAATAATCATCCACCAGAGGATCTGCCTTACCGCTCAGGCACCTAGCCCGAGAAAGCGCATGCTCGGCACGGTCTCTAAGATTCGAGAATCGCCAGTAACGGGTCTGGTAGAGCATCGTGTCCGTGAAAGATTTTTGCTCCTCGAGAAAGGAGCAAAACTCCGCATATTGCTTTTTGAGCTCCGTCAGCTCACGCTTGAGACGATCCCTCCGGAAACCGAAATCCTGTAAGGAGAAACTCCGGATGAGAATCGACGCCGCGCCGCAAGTCTGACTCCTCATTAGGCAGCAATAAGCTCGGTTCAGAAGCTTGACCGTTGGATTGAAATTACTTACCGAGACATGATGGAAGAGAGAGAAACGGAAGAAGTCCATATTGTTCGTGAAGGCGAGCTTACTTTCGGGAACGAGAGTGACGAATGTTTGACCGGATTCCAGTTTTATACTGAGCTGAAATCAGTGAGGGCTGAAATCTTCGGAGAGGGATCTACGGATTCCTCTGAGAGAGCGGCAGTAGCGTTCCGAATCGCGAGGATTGGAATGCTCGGACACCTCGGAATTTGGTGAGAGGGCAATAACAGCCCGCTCAATGGCGGGGGTGAAAATTCTCGAGCAACTCGGAAGTCCTCTCCATCGAGCGGCAGAACCCCCGAGAGCCGCGAAGGAGGGGAGGCTCATCATGACCCCAAGCATCGTTAGGATTCCATTTCGATTCAGTTGAGTATTCGATCCGAAGGGCTATTCCGAGGACGCTCTCTCCAGCGCATTGCAAACTGGGGTCATCATCATCATCGGTGAGTATCTTCGAGATTCCCATCCGAGCTGCGATCTGGCTTCCGAATTTCATCAGTTCAAACAGAAAAGGGTTCTTTCCGAATCCCCTGCGCACCGCATCTCCGAATATGGCAGCTCATTTTGACAACAATTAGGCAGTGGCTCCACAGGAGATTCGAATAAGGCCCCCGTAAGTTCGGAATGAGCGACCGGAAATACGTGAATATTTCATGAGACGGGCAGCCCAAATGTTGACTTCAAAGTGCTACAAACGAGCCCTCATGAGCTATCTGAGTCAATCGAGTTTGACCTCGAATCTGTACGCTCGGATCCGTTGAAACTCCGGAAAGACTTCGCACGACTCCGCTCTTCGATGCGGACACGATGATAGAAGGACCCGAAATCGAGGGTGACCGTCTACTGGGATATCTACACTGCTCGGTAAAGAACAGGAGGAAGGCAGCTAACTTTGAAGCCTCTTCATTGGCAGGATTTCAACGTATGCTTCTTGTTCCGACTCAGCTCATTCGGTACCCGCTGTCATTTCTCCTTCCGCTCGTTCCTTCAGCCGCAAACGCATAATCTCACACATCAGGTTTGATTACTATCATTTTTTTCCCGGACCAGCCGAAGGATGCTCATTGATAGATCGACAATTATATGGGGCCACCGCATGGATAATCAGGCAGTCTAGATGATGCGTGATTGGAACTTGATCAGCGTGAAGCTGTACGATCTTTGGTGTGCGAAGTTCACGCCAAGCTCGAACTCCGGTGACCTGTCCAGCTGCCGTGGGTTCTCTCGAATCGACGCTATCCGTGAGAGGATTGTAAGCCAAATTGAGCTCTCAATTCCCTCTCAAGCCGCTGATTCGGGAGTTTGACTTTTTGCTAGCACAAGGTGGTACTGCCCCCTGTTCAACATGAGCCTGGGGGTCTCAAACTTCTGCTCAAGTCGGTGAAAACGATATTTTGATGTGAAAATGTCGCTTCATTCGATTCCTTCTGCGCATTTGCGAGCGTTGCGCGACACGGGCCCCTCGGAGCCGTACGGCTTTTTGCTTATTTCTGATCAGAGTCCTGCACGAGATAGGGAACTGGGATCCTTGAAATTATCGTTTCGCTACTACATAGAATTACCAGGTTTTGCATGATTGTGATCTTTATTCGGGCATATCAATACATATTGCTCCGCTCCATTTTTCGGAACTCCGAAGTATATTCCAGGAATCGTATCTTCTCTATAGACTCCTTCCTCTCTCAAATGAACGACGACGCGATGAAAGAAATGCGTGTATGGTCCGAAACCGCTGAACACTCACAAGAGAGTCTGTCGGGTCTGCCACCGTCTCATGCTAGTCGAACATGGGCGACAACGGGCCGCGGGAACAGGCCGTCACGCCGAACCGCAGCAACGGCTCCCGCGAAGCCGGACCCTACCGACCGATGGATGGCTAGATGAAGCGAAGGACGGATGAACATCTCCGAGGTAAAGATTTTCGGAAGAGGCACGCTTTCTATTAGATTATGAAAGTTTACAAAATTGTGACTTTTTCGCTAAACTATCCTGGAAGTTTGTACATCGCTCCTCCACGATATTACTCGCATCAACGAGCGTTCATAAATTAACTTTGTACAGCTCATTAGTTACAAGATTGAGAAAGCTACCAAGGCAGAGAGCCGAATATCGGGGGGAAACGTCGTTCGGAGTGTCACAACCGAACGGCGTCGATCCTCGACGAGGGCTCCTCGCGTATTTTCTTTTTCGACCCTTCGAAGGCGAGCTTCTCGAGTCGAGCAACTGGCGCTTCGCAGACTAAGTACATGAGATATGCGAGCAAGTATGCCATCGTCAAGCAGCCGAAGAACTCCATTACCTGGGAAAAAAATCAAAAGATGATGACTACGAGAAAGATCCACGAGGTCGACGACCGGATGGCGCGGAACATGTATTCGTGCCACAATGTGCTCACCAAATGGTAATGTTGGATCGAGAATCGTTCGCGGAGAATACCCGCTCGAACGAGGTAGAGAGGAGAATGGATGAGATACGCTCCGTAGGTCAGCCTACTCAAAGGCACAAGCGCTCGCCAGCTGAGCAAGGAGTTAACGGCCCCTAACGACGAGGAAATATTATTCGAGCTCCCCCAGAACGTCGGAGAGCTGATCCCGCTCCAGAAGTTACTACGGACCGTCTCGACTTTCCTCAAGAGACAAACCAAAAGCGATATCAGTCAATCGAGGAACGATCACCTTCCTCGTCGTAGCTCACCTCCGTATCCTTGAACGCAGACCACTGTCAACCAGCATAGAGTCAAAGCCCAGGCGACCTTTGCGTAGCCGGCATAAATCGCTGAGTCCAGGCCGTCCCAGGGGGCGCCGCTAAACCTGTAATAGCCCATGTTCCTTACATTCGTCATCCGATTGAAGACTCACATTTTTGGCTGTGCGGGAGAGCTCATCAAGCCAATCTGAGCGGTGCACAAGGCCGTATCAGGAGACAGCAGGACTCGGCGCCGAAAATGAATGAGAAATAAAGTCGGGCAGCCCTGCTCGCCGAGCCATTTATGTAGGCGTGACATTATTTCTGGAACATCGTCGAAGCACTCGAGAGAAGGTCCGCCCACTCGAGAGCGGAGAGGAAATCGGTTGCAGAAGAAGAGATATCTACCATTTATACGGAATGAAAATAACGGCCAGAGCCACGGCTGTGGAGAAGGTCCATCCAGAGTACCGGAGACACTGGAAAAAATGGAGAGTACGGAAGGAAGTAGGGATGCAGAAGGGGCAAAGTGATCGAGGCCGGACTATATCCGAAGAAAGGGTAGGGCTCTTCCTCGAGAGGAAATAATCTATCTTCGACCCAACTGAGTTCAGGTTGACCCTGCTCCTCCGGCATATCGTTGTATACCTCGTTGAGTCTGAGTTCCTTCCAGTTCACCATGATGTATCCCATCACAACTCCGATGACGTAGGACGCAACGTGTGCATGCGGTCGATAATAGATGGCTTTCATCATTTCCATGGTTGCTCTATCATTAATGATTTCTATTAGCGGCCGACATAAACCTAATTACTCGGTGACGGCTCCAAACCGGCAGAATCATCAACATTCCGAAAGGGAGGAGTACACCTATGAATCTAATGCTATCCGCCAGCTTCAGGAATCCGCGGAATGCTCTCTTCTGAGGCCACTCACGATAACTGAGGCTGTGTGTAGAGGGACACGGGTTGATAGGAGTTCGCATAGGCCTGGGAAGATAAGGGGTCTCGTGATTCCCGGAAGCCTTCAAGGGCTACTCGACCGGCCGCCGGCATGCGTCCAATATCGCGTCACGGAAAATGATCATGATTCATGATCATCTATGCTAGTAGCTCGGGTTCGTCGAGAGCGAGCCAGAGAATGCTTCTATCGCATTTCACGACTTGCTACCTTGTTTTTTCTCTCGCCGGAATTCTTGTGAGACTGACCTGAGCGAAGACGATCGTCGATGTCACGACGATCAAGCTGATGGAGATGGTCAGAGCCAGTCGCGGTCGCCTCGTCATCAGGATGGGGATAATCCATATGAACATGTAAATCTGCCAGTCGACGCCAACATACCATGTATGCTGCAAACACTGCAAGAATTCAAGAGCGCTAATGAGACATGCTTGATGTTTCCGGGCCGGAACGCGGCGTCGATCTACCCAAAAGCGGGGCGAGCAGCGAGAGGGCTTTCCTCGCTTACCATGTCGAAAAAGTCGCTCAGATTGTTTATGTGTAGGAGAACTTTCCACCAGTTGCGTTGGCAACTTTCGAAAAACGGTCCATTGTGCTCCACTGAAAAATTAAGACAGCAATGAGGGAGTTATTCTGTCGACCTTCGTTCGCCGTTCCGGCTATCCGAGACGATTCGTTCCAGGTTTTCATGTGTGGTCCGGAAGCGATTCTTATATAAGAAAATTCGAGCAGTGGGCTGTGTCAAGTCGCCTCGGATTCGATCCTCGATCGATCCCGGCTGCACTGTGCCTATTGAGTGTGCCCGATTCCCTCCGAGAAAGATATATTCAGGAGGAGTGCAGAACCGGAATGTAGGCATAAAAGAAACAAGGAACCTTGTAGGGGTCCATCGAACATCAAAGGGACGAGGAGCCAACAGCCGACGACGAACATCAGAGGAGCCGTCACACGGATGTACCTGGAATGCAGATGTCGGAAGAATGAATAATATTGTGCGTGTTTTCATTGCACAGAGCACACGAAGATGGACACGACCGCTCTCGACACCAATTCATGAGGTCTTTCTCCTCGATAGAGATATGAGTCGTATAGGTACCTTCGTAGGAGCAAAGTGGTCACTTTCACGGATGTGCTCATCCTGGCGCCACCCTTCTTCTCAAACTCCAGGTAATTATATGCCAAGAGGAAGCCGCTGGAAGAGAAGTTAGCTTGATGATCATCTCACTTATTCGGACGCTTTCCTCGAGTTACACAGTGGGATTTAAGAACCCCGCTCCTCACTGAACCTGGGACGAAGAAAATCGGAAGCGTGGCCCCGAGCACGGCGTCGGGACGCAGTAGCCATTCGAGCGACGACGACCGGTCGTCATAGACGATTTTCCGTGACATCGAATCTTCCATTCACAGACGCGCCTGATTGCGGTCGTCGCCGGGACGCTTGGGACGGGCAACTGCAATTTCTGACGCAAACATATCGTACTAACGGACTAACCTCATGTAGAGGAACGTTTGAACCGCCGGATACGCGTTTCCGACGAGGCACCAGAGCCAACTACGGCCGAATTGCATGGCTCGACTGAGTTCCCCTGGAAAATTACTTGGAGGTGACCACAATTGGAGAATTCGCTCATTGAAATCAACTCAGGAGACACTGTATAATTTTCGAGGCTGAACAGAATTCAATTCTCCATGGGATGCGACGCGAGATTCGAAAGAAGATCGACGCGCCGCGAGTCGACACCGACCTGTCGCCGAGGGTTCGATCGTGAGATAACCGTGTCCGAGGATAATCCAGCACGAGCTGAAGAACCTATGAGGTGGAGAAGGAAAAGCGTAAATATTGGATGAGGATTTATGCAATTTTCGATCCGAGTATCCGATCCATGTATCTTTCATTCATTTCCATGGGTTCCCGTATCCCCCGAATAGCCTTAGAGATGCCGGGGAGGGAAGATAGTCCCGGATATTCATTACCTGACTCCATGGAAGAATGAGAGTTTCCTTTGCGTTTCTGGCATATCCCTTTTGAGGGGTACGTAGAGCAGTTTCTGTGTATTAGTCACAGCCGAGAATGATTCGATGTAGACGCCCGGTGCTCCCTCTGGAACGAATACGTTTATATTTCCGCGCTTTTCATTCAGGGAAGATTCCTCGCGGGAATACGATCAAACCCTCGATACGTGAAGTCCGCGGAGTGGCGAAAATCGCCGCGAAGAATGATCTAGTGGGTTACAAAGGAAAGAGAAGCCGTAACACGGTTCAGTCTGTCGCGCTCGTGATCTCAAGATCCTCGGGGGAAAGGACAGAGTCGTCCCACCATGGATTCGGCGAAATCATTGAGACTTCGACCGGGAAACTAGAGAGCACCGGAGGTCGTCCATCTAAGGGTATCAATTTCAATCGACATACAAAGAAGCAATGCCGCGCCGCCCCAATCCTCCAATCGCTGTCTAGTGGGCAAAATCTGGTCGGCATAGGCTGGATGATCGAATTCTTTGTATTGCTCAAATGAAATATCACGTCTTTTCCCACTATCGAGAAACGTTGAACGTGCCCGGCAATTCCTACCCCTATCGGCACGATCATTCCTGTACCTACATACTCAGGGAGCACCTCAGGAGGACGCTCGGATCTCCATCAAGTATCAGAAGTGGCCTGGCGTAATTCCGAAGCATCCATCCGATCCGGAACCTAGGGTCTCAATCCGTGTATCAGGAACTTCTATTGATAATTCAGAACTTCTGATTACCTGAAAGACTTCTCGCCAGAGAAGATTTTTTCGATCGAGATTTCACAAAAACGTCCAACGCAGTGGCAACGATAACGAAGGACATCATCAAGGAGACGACACACCTGCAAGGAAACAACCGGAACCAACGACTCGGATCGTCTTAGAATTTTTTGATAAGCCTTGCGTCGGGAAATCGTTGCCCGGGCTGAAGTCCTCATAGGAGCCGAGGCTGATTCCGTTCAAGAACTCCCGGCGTGAGTTCCCGAAGGGAGATCGGAGTCCGTCGGAGGGGAACATACGTGATGGGTCGAGGTTCCCGACCTCCGCGACGAAATCGGATCAGCATAATTTTATTTCCACAGCATACCAAGGCCTCACTCACATGAGAACTTTTTCGTAGGCTTTCAATCTCGTCTTCTGTTTGACAGCACAACCTCGGAATGACGCACTCAGAGCGAAATCTTTCGTCACTGCAAATTGGTTAATTCATGAGCCGAATACCGCCATTCCCATTCTCTCTGCGCCGGAAGATGGGTGGATAGAATAATGGAGCGGAGCAGATGGTTACCAGAATTCATCAGCGTTGTCAAATCATTGCCCGAACACGTCGACGGAACACACACTCCGATCCTGAGACCGTGAGAAACATCTTGGTTGGCTTCGAGGAAAACTTGAAGATCCAGGCTAGCCTGAGAATAAGCTTTCGGGGATTAATATCTGATTCTCAATAGAGTTAGTATCGTATTTTCGAATTTGATAAGATCTTGACCACCCCGGAGTTCGGCTCCTTCCTCAATCCTGTACTGCACCTCGTTTTCGTCGTCAGGGGTCATCTTCCCAGTCAGGCTTTTCATGGAATCCAGGCTCGATGGCTTCAAGAAGAGGGAGCAGTATTGACCTCGAAAAACTTCGTCCCCGCTCCGGTCCCTGGAAAATTATGAGAGCAGGTCAGACTCGAGCCTCAGATCTTTCAAATGGGCGAAAATCCAGCCAGCAACACTTTATATGAAGTCGCTCCATCTCGCAAGTTTCCGGTCTCGTACTAGGATGAACGCGATCAACCATCCGGGTAGGCAGACAGTCAAGCTCTGCCGAGGTTGAGACTTGAGACGCGGCCGACGCGGATAGATGAATTTTTTGACCACCGAACCTCGGGGCCGTGGGGATCTCGGAGAGGGGGTAAGAGCAGGTGCTATTGCCCGCGAGCGCACAGCACATACCAGAATCAAGATGCCGATTAAGAATTCGAACAGAGCTTGGTTCAAGGAAATAGCTCAGAGATTGACTAGTGGGTAATAACTGCTTTCAGTGGGTGAGCAGAACGGGGGAAAAGATGAGGTAGGAACAGGCTTGGCCGTTCCTAACTTCCCGCCGATGTGAGAATCCACGGATCATTGACGGCACCCACGCTGAGGCCGAAACTCTCGGCAGGCTACGGTCCCCTCAGCCCAGCCCTTAGTGAGAGCCCAACGGCCTGAGGGCAGAAGGGATCTGTATGGCATTTTCTCTCTTGAAGTGTCTCTGGTACACTTCTCCTCATCCCTGATAATGAGCCTGCTCATCCGATGCGCAACTCAGCCAATGAGCTTCCTTGAGGAGACTCAATTCAGTGGGTCCGGCTAGAGAACGTACCCTAGTCAGGCAAATCGATGGCAAGACGAACTAATACCTTCAACAATGGTCAATTTGGACGATGCGGGGTTTCCTTCTCGGCCGAGAGTGAGACATAACCATTTAGTAACGGCTCCACCGAGCCGTTGGAGCTCATCGACACACCCCGACGATGGAAATTCGGACTTCCCTAAAAATGCCGAGGGTGTCTGATTGAGAGACGTACGATCTCTCCAACCCAGGTCCTAGCTCACGAAGCAAGAAAAACTCGTGAGTGGAGTTGGAATAAAGTCTCCTAAGCGTACCGAGTTCTTCGGTATGACGAGGAGATCAGGAAAGATATTCATGGATCCCGATCTCCGGCGAGTACGGAGACCACAGAGGCGGATGGGAGATTTATGGAGGCTTAGAGTGGAAGCTTCATCATGCTTCTCCGTATCACTAAATGAATTTCCCAGAGGAATGTCATAGTTATCATCCTCAGCGGATGCTTTCCCTGGATGCGGGTGGAAGCCATCTGATCATCAAGTCAGATCGAGAGCAGAGTAGACGTGTGGTCTTCGCCAGTCAACAGTATGCATCGTAATTCCGCGGAAATCCTCTCCGGTGGCGGGACCGATCACTCTTCCGGATCCCAATCAATCATCGACAGCCCGAGCTTCGCAGCCTGTAGTCATGCATTTCTTGTAACAAGGGGATAGGTGCACGATCGCTCAGTTAATTTGCGAGCAATCGAGCTGCATCGAAATCAGTGTCATGTTTGATCATTGTACATAAGTGCATTCATATATGTAGGTCAGAAGAAGACCTCAGCGGACCTCTTCTCCCAGGGGCCGGCTGATTTGAAGCCTCCTGCATGCTTATGACCACCTAGTATCGAATATCCACAATTACGAAGCCGAACACAGGCTTTGATAGGGTGAGTGGGCAAAGGCCGATGGTGTTGCCGATAACGCTCAGATATCGCAAATAAGCGGCATCGGTAGGGGGCGGCAGCTTACCTGGCCACTGTCTTCAAGCATTGATCATATTGACCGAGATCCGATATCGTCCCTGACGCTAAGCCTGAAGGCGGACGACCCATCGCATCGAGCACTGAAAGAGGAGACATTACCATTTAGTAACCGGCCGATGCCTTGGAGCGAAGAGACAGGTACCCAAAGCATAGACCACCTCGGAAAATATCTTCATTTTGGTAGAATGTTCCGAATCATGGGAGGTTTCGTATGTTTCTATTCAGGGGCGGGAGCAGTCGTTCAGTCTCTCGTTTCGCCTCATGAAGAACATATAGAGTATATATAGTCTTCTGAAGATTCATCACTCCTATTCCGACAAATATCAGGACCGAGATACCCTCGGGGATCTCTCCTCCCTCGCAGCAGCTGGGCAATCCCGCTCAGGAAGGTTATCGGGAGTACACTGGGTGAGGAATGCCAGTGGACGCTTTTTCAGCGACGATGCTTTTTCGTAGGAATAATACGATTCCTTGGTCACTTCCTGCGATTCGCTCTTCACCTGCTTCCCTTCCAGGAGATGCAAAGATAAGAAGGATCATTGTCATCGGCACGGCATGAAGGAAGCGACGGCTGATTCACGATCGCATTGCTTGAGGTCGATACGGTGCGACAAACGAAGTTTCCGAGTTTCCAAAACCAGTATGCTTTGGATCACTTATCGCCACCACGCATCGACCCTCGGCCCTTTCGTCGAAGGTCCCCTAGCCGGAACCTCGACGCGTCCATGTTCGAGGCAGTCTGTATTCGGGAGGATCGACAGAGAGTCTATAATTTCCGAATCTGGAAGAACTGTTCATGTTCTGAACATCAGAAACCCTCAGACGGCATTTCATCGTCCAAGTGGACGCTCCGAGGAAGAATGGGGTTTAGATGAGGTGGTCAATCCTTCTCCTCAAGCATCGAATCAATGCAAACTTTCTGGGATCCAAGATGGAAGAGGGAAGAAGAGAAGATGCGCGGTCTATATATGCGCCGTCCCAATCGGGAGCTTTTGCTATTTTATTCAAATTCCCGGAGCTGCGTGGTACGCAAAAAAAGTCCTTAGCCAGAGGCGCTCGAAAGGCATGAGAAAGATTTGTTTCCCCTCCGGACCATTGTTTGGATCAACACGAGACCAGGACATGTTTTTGCGCTGTTGACAGCGACTGACGACAATCTTAACAGAATGTTGGAGGAGGTTAGTGAAAACCCGCTCACAGAAACTGGTTTGACGAGGAAATTCCTCAAATAAGCTAACCCTATTCCCCGTTACAAGTGAACGAAATATCGGACGAAAACTCGACCTCCGACATTGTAGTAACCGAGCCAGTGGATGCCGTGGTTTCTACCAGAACATCCCGCCGTGGGAGAATGTCCGGCTTTTGAGTTTCCCTCTCTTATCTTTCCGAGAACGGATCGGATAGAATTTCCACAAGACAAAACGAAGGTCTGAGAAATCTCTCCCCATTAGATTACAATTATCAACAAGTGTGAACTCTGCGGAACGGAAAGTGGTGTAATTTATTCGGCGGAAGGTGAATCAAACCGCATCGCGGCCACAGAAGAGGATTGCGAAAATTTCGGCCCTGATCGGTCGTGTTTTAGCACCATTAAGATTCCGTTCTATCAGATTCTGGAGGATTGAGCCGTGTCCGACGCCCGGCCGGAACTCCCTGCCGTCCACTGCGCCTACCGTCGCAGGGATCATTCATTAAATCGTTTCTCTGCTACTTGATAATATGCCCAAGAGCTTTTTACGTCAACGCTTCATCAATCATACCGAGGAATCGTTTGTTTTCCACCCTTTGCTACCCACTCCCCTTGTTGTTCGGACATGGCGCCCTGAGCGGTACGGTGTAGATTTTCGTTGTCAATCCCGACCTTCAGGGCCTCGCGTGGAATGGGCTCCGAAGCTCCACATTGTCTCGTTACGTAACGTCCGACGGATATATGGATAGTAATTTCTGTGTCCCTAGAGCAACAAGGCGAAACCTAGTTCAACATGGATCGGAATCGCGAATTCATCTCATGAATTCAGATGATTTGCTCAATGGGTTGCTTATTCCGCGATTGTGAACCTCAACCACATAACTCAGCGTAAAAGCACAGAAAATCTCCAAGAACAAATCCATTGGTGGGTGACTGGGTTAATTTAGGTACATCTCGCTTTGGGAGGAGTCTCCTTGATGATTTCATCCCTGCGTACGTGTACTGCCGCGTGATTTCAGAGTATTTCCTCGAGCTCAGGAACGTTTCCCAAGGAGATGAAGGACTGCTTGAATTCAATAAAGACTCCGATGACGCGCCTCCAAACGCGAGCTCTCACAGCATTTCACTTCAGAGAGTTTGGCCGAATCTAACCATCTAGCCAGCGCCGTCAATAAATAAACGCCTGCCAATCACCCACTGTTCAAAGCTGACGTGAGCTTGTGCTGACGGCCATATTCCCGGTATTCGGTAGCATTAGGAGTCTCAAAGATACCGAGAACTCGATGAATGCCTGGATATACCCGTTTTGAGGATGACGTTTGCATTACCTACATGTACCTACTTGAAATAAATCTGTACCGCGAATCGAGATTTCCCCGAAATCCGCTATCCTAGTAGAACGCGCCACATTTCTTTTCCGCGGACTCGATTTCACCCAGGACTTCCGACAGAAGGGATTTCTGCATATATCGAGGGCACGCTGAGGTATTCCATACCGAGTGCGACCCTCAAGGATACGATCCTTCGGTGGAAGAGACCGGTTCGATCTTGAGGCTACGATGCCGCCATCGATTCAGAACCTCATCTCTTCAGCAACGCGGTGACGGTCAACCTGAATGGGGAAACGTTCAGAAAGCGCTACCGGCACTAATGTAAGTTGGGGGGGGACCGACAGAAACGGTCACGTGACCGCATGGTGCACTTGAAGGAGCGGGAACAGACGCTATGACGTTATACAGCTTCAATGGGAGAAATTTCTGCCCGAAACCAGCGCTCATGAACGTTCAGACGCGTTTAAGTGGAGCCGTCGGAATCATGGACGGGTGAATTCTGAACGAGCGAAAAATAGATTCAACTCAATGAGCAAAATTTCGAAGAATTCTCGTTGCGGAAACGGTCTCCTAATCGAAAGAAAAGGTGGATAGCGGGGTTAATGTTTCTCTCGTCCAATCCTTATTTCTACAAAACATTCGAACAATATCAAATCTTTCAGTGCTATGAAACCACGACCCACGGCTGTGCGCCTCACCAGCTTCGGAAGCACGCGTGTCGAGCATGCCTGAGGACGAGAACGTGTTACCGATATTCTTAATCCGTTGAAGTAGGCTTCAACCCTGAACGATTCGGAGAATGCTTCCCACAATAACAAGCTTGTTTTCTTGAAGTTCCCTGTTGCGTAAGGTGACACGTGGAATTTCTGTGGAGAAAGTCCCCAGACAGCCACGCGCTTCGTCGACGGCGTCGTCCGAAAGCTTGCCGACGTCACCGCCGAAAACTCTATTCGATTATTCTTGAGCATCTGGAACCACGACAACCGATGCAGGACATGCTTTCGAATGGATACGTCGTCCAAGAATTATTGCTCACAGCGGATGCTGAGGCTGGATACGGATTTTCGAAGAGATCAAAGCGGAAGCGATTTCTGATCGCTCTTCTGAGAAAACGGGAGGCGAAGCACGCGTTGGGGATATCGATCTAGCCCACCAAGCCCAGGAACAGAACGCGCCATTTCGCAAAACTAAGCCGATACTGAGTAACATCTCCCCGCCGTCCTCCACCTCGCAGTCCGAAAGCTTTCAGGCGCGCAGATGAATGAACGATTGTAGACATTGTCCAGGGCGGAGATGCTCGAGGGAACGGGGGGGGGGGGAGCATGGGGAACTGATGTGATAGGGGACTGAGGCGTCAGAGCCCGAGGTAGGCAGCGAAGCTGCGCGAGTTTTCGCTCATTGAACTTTCCTGACAAAAGGCACTGTTTGAGCGAGTTTCATGATTCCGACTCAAAGGGGAACTCGAATCCCTAATAATCAAGAGAAACTGCCGTATTAAGTGTGCTCTCTGCTCGCGAAGTGAGCGGACGTTCGTCACGTACAGACTTCTCCTCTGGAGACATCCGGGCGCCGAAGGAGAACGTTCTTAAGAGCAAGTGTGGAAAGAAGTTGCACGGAGCCGAACACGGACCCCGGTTTGCGCTTTTGGGTCGGAACGCCGAATCTACCGACCATGACGGTCTGGCTGACGGATTCTCTACAATCGAAGTCTTCAGCAATTCCCGGACGATATGGTATGACTACCGCTCGATGAATGAAACATGTCGGCAGCCGTTCTCCGCGTCGGAAGCTCGGACCCGGATCGAGAAGCAGGGCCGGACCAGGAAGACTTTCATATGCTACATAGAAACTTGGTATGGGATGCCCCATTCAATAAGTCGGAGCGGACACTCACGTTTTAAGGCCCACGGCTGCATCTTCTTGAGTCCTACGACCCATCTCAGTAGAGATTGGCTACAAGCTTCGTCCAGACTATCGAAGGCCCCGGATGCTGCGTGATTCTCCGAAATTCTACCGAGGACTGAGTCGATCAAGGAACTCAACTTCGCTTCGAGATCCACAGTCACGTTCCGTCTTCGATATCCAAATCTGTCGTCGTCACTCTGTCGACTGTCACGGATGTCCGCGGAGTCGTCCGTGTTAGTTGCCGTCGTCGTTTCGACACTACGCACATTTCTGATATCCGAGAGCCGGCTCGCACTGATTGCACTCGAGCCGAAAACCAACAAGGTACAGAACACCGGCGAGAAGCCACGCCGCATCTTCTCCCGTTGGCACCCACACTAAGACTACGCCGCCTGGGTTTTCGGAGTTGTCGACCGCGCGTTATACAACTAACCGTGCTTGCTTTCCTGCTAGCTAGCCGATCGTGCCGCTTGTCGCACCGCCAAAGGTCCAGTCGCGCCACGGTTTGACCTCCTCTCCGAACAAACGCTATTATGTAACACCTTCCCAGCAGAGCTGATAGGGCAGAAGTCGCCACTGAAGATACAGAAAGCAGAAACGGGTTACTGACAACGTCGATGAAGTACGTGCGACCCCGCGACGACGAGCGTCGCTCATTCAAATCCTCATTCGACGATAATACCGATAAGGAATCATCCGCGGATGGACGATGCGTTTTATGGGATATAAATTGAGACAGAAGGTCACCACGGAAATGCGGCTTTTCTGACGGAACTTCGTCGGGGACTAGGGATCGAACTTACCTCCATGGATCGATCGTTGGGTTGCGATCAGAGGCAATTCCGATCCTCCGGGAAATCGCGAGGCTCCGGCGGATCGAGATGTTATATATTCAACCGTTCAATGGAGATGATATACATAAGATTGAGATTTCATTTCGTGGCGGAGAACACGGTGCCGGCGCGGTTGCAATGCCCCGAATTGGTGCAAGTGTACCCATAAATTGTATGTCGTTGGGAGGTCGGCTCTACCGCGGGTCACCCCGAATCGACGCTAAGCGAAGCTGCGTTCTTCTGACGGAGTGCGGCGATCAAAGTGATCGAGAAGTCAGGATTCCGAGACGTTTGCTAGCAATACACCCATTGTCGCTTACGCGAGCGCGTCCCGCTCACCGTCTATCCGGAGATCTTGTATGTCTTCCTGACAATCGATTACTCAATCATTAGCGATGATTGAGGTCAACGCTATGAATTTCCCAGCTTTTCTCAGGAGACTCACAGAAAGATTCTCGAGAATACTCTGAACTTTGCTCGCTATCACTTCGAATCTCCAAGGCTTGAAGAGCAGAGCACATGTCGTGTGCGGATCGAAGTCTCTTCTATCTGGCGCACTTGCTCGGCGAATAGATGTTGATTATTATAAGGGACTAAGCATCTGGGGCGGACTTTTCACTGAGTTCGTCGTGAGCGGGTCGGGGCTGAATCACAATTCCTCTCGGCTGCGGGGATAGCATATTGGGAGCTTAGCGGGAATGCTCCCAAGTATGCATGACCGAACGAATATGAGCCCATATACGTATCTCAGTCGCTCTGCGAGAGAATAACCTTTAGTTCGGCGATGTCAACACGTCGAGTTCCGAACTCAGACTCACTTCTGTTGCCGTTCATGAAGAAATCCCGATGTGTCCGAATGGGGAGTAGCGCGAGGAATACTATTCTCGGATCCGCCAGAAGATATCCGCAGATGCTTCGCTTGCTAGCTCACTGGCTCCTCCCTAATTATCAATCTCGCATGATCGATCCAGAATGGAAATCCGGCGGTCCGAATCGACCAGAAGCGTAATCACAGGATCTATTAGAATGCATTCGATCTACATGAACACCTCGATAAGGGCCAGTCTGCTGAATCCGATTTGCATTCGTAATTTGTCGCTCGTAACTTCTGTCGTCTGGCTGTGAGAATCGTGGGATTGCAAATCCCTATGAATTTGCATAGGACGGCAAGGAGCCGCCGATCACGTGCAATGTGAAAATCCTTCTCTTTATTCCCTCGAACAAATAGATCCCGGTCTTTCCGTCGTCGTAGTTCTTCGTGGATACCGGTGTCTTCGGGAGAGCACGAAGATCATACAAGCATAGGACTGAATTAAGCTGAATCACGCTTGCGCAAGCTGTAACGGCCCCCTTAAGCGCAGAAAATGCTGCCGGGCGGCTATTAAGTATCAAACCGTAGCTCGATCCTTGGTTGGGATAAAAATCGTGGAATACGTATCTGGAGCTCTAGATCGAGCTCGTTCAGAATATGCGAGCACCGGCTAACGGAGTCATTCTGCCGTTCTGTCCGATTAAAAGCAATTTCACCGAGACTCATAGGTGAATCGTGGTAGAAACGTCGAACAATGCTTCTGTCTTGCGTTTGATACGTTCATTCTTTGTCTTCACTGGATCGGAACGTGCCTCAGATCACGACACCGCGAGCGGCGACGAACGCGAAAACAGAAATGATATGGATACAGCGTACGCAGTGCCTTGAACTTGATCTTTCGCAACAACCGTTCCATGAGTTATCCATTGTACTGTACGACATAACGTAGATACACAGGAGGAGCAACGCGCCTCACAAGCAGCCCAATCAACGATCACAGGTGCGACCTCCCCCTTCCCCCGCTCAAGGGGTGAATGTTTACCGATCGATTGGACTCCACATTCTTTATCCGCATCTCGCAAGGCACCGGGTTATCAGGCCGACGATCGGGTCTGCCCTACTACGAGATCAATCAGTACACGCGTGAATGGAAGGAAGTCTCAATATATGATTATTCTGTGTGGACGATCACCGCAGGATCATCGCTCCCTAGTTCAGTTGGCGAGCAGGGTTTTTTCAGAAGAGAGTGTCCAAGCCCCCCGACTTTTTGACGGAAGGAAATCATTGCTCCGGACACAGATCCCTCGAGTCGACAGTAATCGTTAGAGTTTTTCTAGCGAGGCATAATATTTTTATAAACTCATGGTCCGCGTCAACGCAACTCGTTTCTAGTTCGGGCTCGTTATACAAACTAGCGGATATTCTTCTGAAGGTCTTTTTCTGTGAAATAAGCGGAATGCCTGGAAGCTGCCGCCGTGGGAGCTTTTCTCGATATTGCAAAACCCTCGTGTTTGCCTGAAGCTTCGTCACGATGCGGGTCCACACACCGGATCGATGCTGACGATTCGAAGCCGGTGGAAGGAAGAGGATGCTCTCAAGTGTTATCAGGTTAAAGGGTAAATTTCCGTTGATATGGCAAGGTCCGTTTTTTACGTTCCGTCAGAGCGGTTACCAACGAAGTCGGGACCGATGGCAAGTCCTTGGTATCGCTTAGATGAGGACATTGAATTTTTAATTCGTGTTCTGACCTGGATATCTGATTTCTAGTCCTGTTGTTGATGTTAATCTCATCAGAGAATATAAAACCATGGGCTCTGAGGAATATTGCCATGCAATCGTCAAGCCTGAGCGGCAGCGTTTTTCTGGCATCCGAATCCCCTGGTCCTCTCACTGCGTACTCCGCGTTCCCAAGTGGGAGCGCGATAGGCAAAAATCCAGGCTAATAAATCATGGGGGCTCGGCAAATGTCTCGAACATTGAAAATTAGCCAAGCAAAGTTTCTGTGATCCATTCCGAATCGGATGTCCTTTGAAGAATTCAGTGTTGTGTTGAAACTCGTCGGCCCTGTCACTTACACCCGAAAGTTTCTCTAGAGACGTAGACACCTTTCTACCCTTAAGTGAAATCTGCAAAGCCTCCGTGCTGTTTTCAACTTACAAAATGTCATCAGAACCGTACAAAAATTCCAATTCAGCTCCGAGGCATCGTGATTCCAACTGGGGGTTTTTGACTTTTTTTCTGATATGAACACTGAATCGCCATGCAGTCAATCGCAGGGTCCGAACGCTGACGCAATCTCTGATCGCAATCGACTATGACAGACGGACGGATTCGTGGAACACGTGAATAAAAGCCCATCAAACAATAATTCACTACAGAGGAGAAAGGGCGGCTTACATCGATTACAGGGGGTACAGGCAAATCGATCACGATGGACAGCTAAGAGGATCGATCATGATCCTCGATATCCATGTATGGATGCCGGTGTCAATATCCCGATGAGGGTTGGGCATCCATCCTCTTTCCGTCACCGATCCCGTTATCTTCTCAAAGAAATTATTGACAGAAACCGGGCGAATAATCCTAGGAGCTCCGAACGGATGCGATTTTTCGCGCTTTCCGATCTATGGTCATGTTTTCCAACGCTTCCATCCGATTACTCGCCGTCTTCTGAGCAGGATGGATGGGGCTTTGCGTAACAAAACGGAGCGATTCCAAACGATGCATCAAAAGTATAGATTGCCTGACAGGACTCTTGTTGTCGTTCTCGTTCTGAGGACCAGGTCGGCGGCGACGGGGAACACACCCTCTAAGTGCTTAATCAATCTGTCAATCGACGCCAGGGTTAACGAATTCTGATAGCTTCGGCAGCGCTTCGGCTTCCACCGTTGAGCCTTGATCGAGCTAGTGGTAATTGCTCACCCCGTTTTCCTCAGAGGGGTACTTCGCCACGTAGTGTGCAAGAGCCTCCATGATTCATTCTCCACGTTGATGGTGGCTAATCACTTTCGTTTTCGTCCCCTATCCGGCGAGACTCTTATCGACAAATCAATATGTGCATTTCAGAATTAACGTAATGGCGGCTCACGCATCACATGCTATTGCTCAAGCCATCAGCAGAAGATTTGATCGATCGAACCGCTAGAACATCATGCGAGCTGTTCGAAACGTCCTGCAGACTCGCGGAGATTGTCAGGTTCTCACGCTCTCGAATTCCCAAGCTCTCCCCGTTATTGTCCTGACGTCGCACGAAGCGACGGCTAACTGACTCTTCGGTCCGATGGTAGTTCTGATGCGGTAGCGGAGGAAGCCGCGCGAATCGATTGTCGGCAGCTGACGTCATCCCGGAGCGATCAGGTGGAAAATCGCTCCGAATAGGCGGGGACCGATCAAAGCGCCGCAGTCAGAGATCGGAATGACGAGGATTTATGTCGGACCGGGGCTCACCGTATGAGAGGATAAGTGGAAGTTCTTCTGTTGCTGTGGCGCTTCACGGATCCGTGACATCGAACGATCTGGTGTCGAAATATCTGTCTCCAGACTCGCCACGATTCTGACTCACAAGGGCTCGGCATCGATGGTGCTTTAGTAAAATCGCCGAAGCCGAGTCGGGATCGCCGCCGCCGCCGCCACCAAGAGCTACTCGGGTAGACATGCAGGCACCAAAGTTTTATCATTCGATTGTCGTAATGACTTCAAGGTCATCGCAGCCGCCGCCGCCGCCGCAAGCGCAGGGCCTCTGGAAGCGTCTGGACGCCGAGAATGTGCGTCCGATCAACAGACAGATCACGACTCGGCGTCGAGCTGAAAAAGGTCGAACACTGGGCGTCTTCGACTAATTTTTCCAGACCAGCGGCAGCGCCGTTCTGCTATGAGACCCACGGTAGCGGCGGCGGCGACTAATCGATTCTCCGGAAGGATGGATGTATTGATCGTGGGCCGCATTGACCAGTGTTCTCGAAGTTCCCAAGGCCATTTTTTTCGCCCTAAGGTCATCGGGTACTAGTTTGACGTCCGATACGCTGACTGCGAATGGGGTTCCGGCTGAGAACCTCGACCGGAGGAAAAGCAAGCCTTTGACGATTTCAATGAGTTTCTGGAGGGATCATTTTTTCGACAGGTTTGGGGCATGCAGGGAACTGATCTGTGACATTTCGATTCCTCCCCTCCCTCCCCGTCGGAAGTTCATTCTATGATACTCAGTTCTGGCTCGATGGAAATTCCCGAAAATAAACAATGATACGCATGAGCCGCTCGATGGATATTCATTCTTTCCGGTGGCCTAAGGAAATCCCGCGTCAACGAGTTCTGGCGCTGAATGAATACAGAGACCTTCTCCTTGCATAATATCGGCCAAACATGATATATGTACTGAAGTAGCCTTGTCAGACGATGCCCTTCGACGGTGAAAAATCGGAAACGGAAAACGCCGAGTTATGGCTGATGCCAGCTCGTTTCCAAGCTCAATCATCGATCTTTGCCCTAGCGAATGTCTACAGAAATCTGCCTCAGCGAGAGTTTCGAAGGGTTCCGACCCGGAGAAAACGCCTGCCTCCTCAGTCAACACCGAATCCGACATCCGAGGATAACACAATGACTCTGGGGCTACAAGCGTCGACCATTTCCGCGAGCATTCGGATGATGATCCCACAAGGATGTCCGCCTCGACCGAACCGCGTAGGACTGGTACTCAATGCTCAGTCAGCCCTCCTGAGTCCGTCTTGTCTGAGTATCGGGCGTCAGAAGAGCAGGCAAGCCGAATCCTAGTGTCTGGTGAGCCTCGTTCGAAGAGACTCATAGGAAAAACCCCCCTTCACGTCCTCTGCTTGGAGGCACGTACAGCTTCACAGTAGTTCAGCGGTAAGGGGCAGAGTATTGAAGTTTCCGAGACGCCCCGGAGCCTTCATAGACCCTGGCGAGTCCGTATCTTTTCGGATACAGTAGATTATGGTTTAATACCAGGCTATATATATACGTTTATTGCGTACCAAAGGATGCCTTATGGGACGGGACTCCGAAGTCTGGTATCCCTGTCGAGCAATGACTCACAGCCCCGCTAATAAGCGGACCTCAATCCTTTTTGATGGGCAAGATGAAACGTGCAAAACAGAGCGAAGCGTCGAGAGATGGATCCCCATACACAGAATCCGCCCCTGGTATCCCCTCAGGGATATATATGTATGCATATTCCTCCAAACCGGAGTTTCAAGAAGAATGGGCCGAGGATGTTTCTCTACCAGCCGTCGAATCTTACGGCTTTCCCTCGTCTACTCCACTGGGTAAACATTCCGGGAAGTCAGGAACACGTGAGGCTCGTTTAAACGTCAGTGTCTGGACAGCACTCTGCGGCAAGGCTTCTAACGAACTTAACGGCTTTATCAGCGAACACGCAATAATTCTGAACAAAGGCGTCGCTTCCATTTCTGACTCCGGAACGATTTATTCGGTGCACCTTCGCCGCCGGAATTTCTTGTAGACGCCGCTCCGGCTGACGACGCCGTTATTGCCTTCGAGAAGTGACTGTGCGGTGATGCAAGCTGCAAGGCCAGGCATGTGGGGCAGTCAAATCTGGTCTTGTCTGGAACAGACAGATCATCAAAGAGGGACGAGAATTGAGCATTTTCTCGCGCGTCAGCTTCTCTTGTCGAGATTAGACATAGCATTGACCACCCAGTGACGTTTTCCTTCCGTCGCTTGCGCTACGCGACAGTTTGTTCGTAGAAAATGTCGAATCCTCAGGAGTCTTTGGGGTCTTTCAGATACGATTCTCATCGGACTGTCGCATGGCACGCGAGCCTGAACTCCCCAATGCCAAGTCAAGGAACCGAGTCTTAGGATTCACTGTCCCATATAAGGCTCGAACCATAGACTCCGTTGCCTGAAAAACAGGCTCTCTGAAATCATATCCGGTGACCGGTGGGATCGACTAACGTTAGAGCGCAGGTCGGGCTGCGAATGTTAAGTCGTGAGCGAAGCGAGTGAGTCGCAAGTGATCGCTTATCGCGAGATGCCGCCGGCGGCGTCTTGATTTGAGATGATTCTTCTCGGCTGCCCGGAAGCTCTTGCGCGGAGAACTCTTCCTCCATCGCGAATCGAAGAAAAGTTCACTGGCTTGCTTGGAACTTCAGCGCTCCTGAGGAAATTGGGTCGGAATCACGCGTATCGGGCGTATCTCAAGTTCAGATTGACGGTGACTCGTGGGTTCATTGAGATGATGAAAGACCAACGATCCTTATCTTCCTGGAGTTTTGAGAAGGTGAAAACTGATTCGATCGTCTTTTCTACTCCGCAACCACTCATTCGTAGAACGCTCCGTCGATTTCAATTTGCGTCGATCTTTGAAGATATTTCTCTGTGAATTAATTCAATCATGAGATACTGCAACGAGCCGGCGATGAAGGTGATTCGAACTTTACTTTCTTTCACCATGCCATCTACCGGCGGATCAAGAGTCGAGGGAACACGCGCGTGCGAATCAACCCAAGAGTTATAAACAAAGATTACATCACTTACAACGGATTTCTGGAATGTCAGGTCATTGCGGTAGAGCGGCTTCCTTCGAACGACGCTTGTGGGATCGATATTCATCACGAGCTGTGAATGAGCAAAGTTTCCTGCCATGGAATCTTCCCGTTCCGACAGAATCAAGAGAGACGGTCTCCCCGAGAAATCACGATCCGGGCGGACTCTCGTAGACAGAGCAGGGGTCGTGCTTGCCATGTGACTCCCGAGGGGCTACCAGGCGATACAGGTCTGACGGGAATCATCGATCAATCGAAGTCAAGCGTGCCCGTGTTATAAAACGTGAAGCTTTCTGACCCCAAGTCGGAGTCGTGAGGAGGGGCATAGCATTGGAAATTCCCCGAAAATCATGATTGCTCTCCCGTAGCTCCACCTTGAATCTTAACCTATGCGCACGAGGTATTTCGGGGCATACCTCCCCACTCGAGTTGCTTAATGACCGCGAGTCTGTGGATGTCGCGAGGTCCGAACGATGGCGAAGCTTCGAGATTCTTCTTAGGCTAGAACTCCGATACCTAAACTTCTGACGGGTGAGCTTCCCCCGACCGAACGGAGTCGGAATCGAGGTATTCTGCAAAGCGATCCAGCAAGGTAGGACATGGTCGTTCCTCAAGGGATAGACGGAGTTCAGCGCGAAGGATGCGAGACTAGAAACCTGTCCAAGATATCAAGTTCACTCGGTTCCGGAGCTTGATTATTCTTACGGTCCATCACCTTCCTGAGGAGCGTCGATGCGGAATATTGAATCACATCATAGACTGCAATAGAAGCCGCACGATAGAAAAATGGGGATTCCGGAGCTCGTCGTATTTGGTCACCACCAGCTCATGGCTGCCAGAGCTCCCGAGAGGAAGCGGAAAACGTCGAGGTTTTTGTGAAAAATCGTGGTGCATATGAGGAGCGGAACTCCAATCTATTGCGATACCGGGAATCAATGAGACCTTCCCAATGATTAGAAGAGGCCGTGGCCACCACCGGAGGCGCGTGTTTGCTCCTTGAGGTTTTTCAATTATGGGAAAGTCTTCATGGTTTCATGAAACGCTCTGGTGAATGAAAAACCCGCATCGTCTTCGCAGTCCGTAGGTATCGAAGAGTCTCCTGGCTCCACGAGAGAACGTCTTCCGTTTGCTTCGTATAGGGGTAGCCTCACAAGTATGACACATCGTTCAGATATACCAGAGTCGGATTTTCGGGTCGGTGATAATAATCATGATACTGGAAGGGTTATCCAGAATCCAAGCCCAAGAGATCCGTTCATGAACTCAATTCGGAGCTGCTTAATCGAAATGCGTCGCGGGAACAACCAGAGCTCAAGAACCCCGATACCATTTCAACATTGTACGTAGCTTTCGAATGTCAAGTTGGTAATTGTTGTTGTAAACAACGAGGTACTTCGTGGGAACGTCTTGTGTCGCTTACCGCTGGTAGTGAATAACCTCGGTCCACTTGATCTGAACAGGCTGGCGGTCTGAGTGGAGGAGGAGAAGTAGGAGAAAAATGTGTCTTCCGATCAGAAGGAGCCGCGAAATGCCCCTAAGCTAATCGGAGCAAGGTTCCTTCGGAAATCTGGTAATCGGCCATTCGACCCGGAACGCGTTGTCGACTGACTCATGTTCACTGTCCGACCTTCTTCTCGAATTTAAAACCGGCGCGGCCAACTTTTCTATCAGGGCGAAGAATCTCCAGAATCGTACCGTCGTCTCCTCGGACAATAGCAAGGAGGAACTGTAGTGAACTGCCTCAGAGTCGACGGTGAAGCTCTCTTCTCTTTTCAGATCTGCGACATGTCCAAACGTGAAACTTGGGCTCCCTCGTTTCCCTGCGGTGAGATATTCACCGAAATTATCGTCTACAGAGACATCGAAGTCTTATCGGAGTATACAGAGTTTATATTGCGTCTTCATTCGAGAATATATACTTCACTCCTCCGGATGCATCGTATGATCGGTTTTTAGAAACTGGATCAAGCGTCAGCAATCATCCTACCTACGAACTATTGTCGAAGACATGCTCCGATTGTCCTGTACAACTTCGCTCTCTTCGAAATCCGCGTCGGAAGCCTTCAAAAATGAGCCGTGACAGATTTGATGATTCAAACCCTCCGCTCGTCTTTGCTGAATCCATTTCAAACCCTATCCATGGAGCGTCAATCTCCCCCAGTCTGTCGCAGAATATCAAAAAATCTGAAAGTCGAGGATGTGACCGAGCCGTCTTCGGCGAAGCATTCCCCCAGTCCGATTTTGACTATTCTTGATACGACTCCGGCCGCGAGACCCTTCTCGACTTTGAGGCTCCTTTTGAGACATTGTTTCAGCGCTCGATCGCATCGACAGTCCGATATCGTGTATTGATTTGGTCCCTTGGACGTCGTGGTTTCTCCAGGGAGCGCTCTTATTGGACACAGGTCGTGGTCTCGGCAGCAAGCATCGGGTCCTCGCACTAATCCCAAAGCTCCGTAGTTTTCCGCCGCATCTCCCGGACCGCACCAAAGAGTCCCTGAATCATAAATTGCAGCATCTATACGTAGTATCATTGAATCATGCGATCGAGAGAGGATGAAGCCCCGTGGAGCGGTGGCCAAGTCCTCGAAAGGCTGACGACGACTCGAGCGGCCGATTGCAGAGATTCTCCAATCGAGAAAATGGTCGTGGAACCATGACGGGACTGCACGGAGAATGAACAATGTATTCCTTACCGGGGAGCAGAGGATTCGCGAAGCGTGGAAACACCTGACTGCTAGCAACAACCTCCCCGCATTTTCTAATGAGAGTGATCATGCCCTCGAATTCGATCACTTCTGCTTTTCGTCCCAGTTTCTTGTACAGAAAATCGCGTTCGGCGCGGTCCCTGCAGAATGATGAGGCAATCACTCACTAATGATCTGATGATAGCTTACATCAATAATAATCTGCCAATTATCTGATGAAAGCTTACACCTCATCAATAATAATCTTCCGATCATCGACCACTGAGGGACTCAGGAGCTTGAACCTGAGTGTCGTGAATAGACCGATCACAGAGAAATGTCGAAGCTCTCCCGGGAAAATATTGGATGATTTCTCGCTGCGATGAGTCGAATCTTATGCTCTCGAGGAGAGCTTTCCCTATATGCCCTATACTTGCGGTCGACAGTTTTCGAGATTAGACAGCCTTGGTCTGGCAGCTGTGATAACGAATAATGTGCAGGGAGATTTTCCTGAGGAGAAGCTAGTTCGCTGCCGCGCCTCCATGAGGGGAATCAGCTTCAGAATAAGAAGGATGCCTGGAGTATGTAGTAGTATCACTCGAAACTAAAACGTCTGGAGATAATCCTTCGCGATATGATTCTTCGCCGAAAGAATCTGCTCAGAGCATATGAGGTTCACTCCGCCAGGAGCAGACGCTGAGAGGAGTGTGCGCTCAAATTCCGCCTCTCGTCAGCATACCACCGATCGAGACTCAGTTGACCATTGATTCTACTACCCGACAGTCTCATGTCTCCCATACTGCTTTTGCTCGCTCACCTTAGTTCAGTGAAGCGGCAATTAATGATGCGCCCGGCTTCGTCGTGAACGACTTCACCGACTATGACACCTGATGTGACGACCCGAGTTCCATTAGGCTTCAATATCGAAAGCCCGTTGGGCTTCCGGAACCATTCGCGGGAACCATGTGCTTCCCTGGAGAAACCAAGGCTCCTGAAATTTCGAAAATCATGGAGCCGTATTCCTCTACGTAGTTTGTCTCCCAATCCCACGCGCGCAGTCTTCTGAACGCCGTCGGAAGGAATTCGTCGTAGTTGTAGAATACGGGTATGGAGAGGGTCAAGGAAACTTGCCGAAATTTTTTGCCGTTTACCTGGTTTGGTGAAGCGAGCAGAGGATGCACACAAGTATTTGGCGAATCATCTCCGCGAGTTTTCCTCGACTAACTATTCACTTCGCACTGGAATTTCGGCTTCTCCGGCTCCGCAAAACATTCTGTGAGACGTGTGCGATAAGTGAGGGTATCGCGTACAGTTCGCTGTTTCCATCTCAACTCATAATGACCGGTCATACGGAAAGCGATAAGACATTCGAGAGCTCGCACTCTTGAACGGATCACGCCCGCCTTCAAAAATGTGGTCCGAGATGTCTCGCAGCGGGATTCCCTAGGAATGGTCGAATGTTCGCATTTGCACTGCCATGGGCGCGACGAGCACGCTCTACGTCATTGAAGCGGAGAATTTCTTGTGAGGCAGCAAAACTCGAACGCTCACACAAGTTGACAACTCTCACTCAGACGTCTGATGCCAGACATTGTTCTTAGAATTTCCGCTTTTCTTGGCCACTGCCGCGGCGGCGGTGACGGGGATCGCTGCGATCAAATGACGGCTGGGGGACCTCTCGGATGGATATGTATAATATTTTCATAGGGGCAACCCGTAGACTTGATTCACAGATCGCCGGATGACCATGGGAGGTAGCCAGACTAAGCACTGGAGAGATCTCACTATCCAGGAGGGAACCTGGTATACTCGAATCGGTCCAGTTCATCCACCCATTTCCAAATCAACCGCTTAAGCTCATCAAAGAATGCCAATTACACTCCAGATAAAACCAGAACAGCATTGAGTCGCTCTCGTTCGTGGCACGTATGAGTGTTCATGAAGCACTCGAACGTTGCACAAAGTTCCAACGTCGCGGGATGATTTCTCATGGCTCTGAGCAGTTGCGGCTGGGCAAACTCAAAAATAAATGATCGGTTATGAGCGAAAAATTCAAAGTACACTGACCATATCTGAAGCAGAGGCACTGAGCTCCCCAACCGCTGTCGAGGCGACCTATGAGAGATGCGCCTGTTTTTCGAGGAGACAACATATAGCACGAAATTGTGTCCGGACTTGCATCGGGAGACGAAATTCCTGCCCGGCTAGGATTAAATATCTGTGTGACTTGACAGGTTGAGCACGGGAGACCGAACAGCAAAGGCTACAGGTTTCCGTCTCCGTCCGCAGATGGTGGCGCAGTGGCGTCACTGAGTGCCGCGGACTCGGCGAGCAATTTCAACTTCCTAGAGCACGCTCGATTGGGATTTATGCTATTGTAGATGAGGATTCATCGTATCCCAAAGTTCCAAGTTGAAGATGAGTGGGCCACTCTCTCCGAGGACTAGTTTCCTACGCATCATATCCCAGGGTCAATCAATGGGAGCGTCATCCAAAATCTGAAAGATTCTTGCAATGAGCTGGCCTTGATCCTTCTTCTCGTGACGGCGTGACGTCCGGCTCTGAGAGCGTGTCGTCAGAAATTCGGCACCTGCTAATCCCTAATTAGATCGTTCCGCATTCTGTTTTCCTATCTAGACAGAACGGCTAGTCGCGTTCTACGATTTGATCACGCAAGAAAAATGCGACGAGATCAGACGGAATCATCATACGTGATATGCTAGATACTGGACGAGACCGAGAAGAACACACATATACTAGAGAATCATCGATTTATTGAGCGGCATCGCCATTCGTCCTGAGGCGTCGCCTTACGGATAAGGACGTACGCCCCGCATATTGCACATGAGATCAGTGAACACCAGTCTGGAAGACGCCCATCGCAATCAACCTTGATCCGGGGGATCTTGGAATACACGGGCATCGCGGTTAAAGTGTGTCTTGGAGAGGAAGACACCGGGTCCTTCTATGCTTCGAATGCTCTTGAAGCTTGTCCTTGCGGGAGAAAGTCTTCGAACAACTCCCACATTTGAACGCGCGCGGCTCGTGAACAGCCTTCACATGCCTGGTTGGGAGAAGGGATGCGATCAGATCCTCCGGAGTAGACAGGAGTTTCTGCATAATGGGTATCGTGAGCTGTAGGCTTCGGATGAAAAACTGACATCCATTCTATACCTCACGACTTGATCCGGTCTAGCGAAGGCTCTAGAGCATTTCGGACAAGAGAATGCCTTTTCGTTGTGTGTTAAAATATGCGAGGCCAAGTGGTGTTTGAGCTTGAAGCCTTTGCCGCAATGTTCACAGAGGAATGCTATTTCTGCCTCGTGGACAGCCAGGTGGCGCCGTAAGTACCGTTCCTCCGAGAACCTGAGGGAGCGAGACCTCTATCTTTCTTATCTGAACTTCGGAGAAAAAGGTCAGGGGAACGCCGAATAAGTTTGCGGAATTGATAAGCCGATCCTGTCCCGTACCGGCTGCTACAATGGGGGCAGTTGTAAAGGTGGCCCTTAGACTCGCGATGTTCCTTGAGGTCTTCAGGTTCTGAAAATCGTTCTTGACATATCTCACACTTGTATTGGAATCTTTGCGCGCGCCTCCCGGAGTTCCTCTGGGGACCCAATTCTTCCGACCGACTGTGTGCGTGGTTGTGGAAACTGAATTGGTACAGGTTTGGGAAGACTGCATCACACGGTGTGCACCTGCCGAGCAGAGCTCCTTAGGAATTGATCTCATCACTGCTCCCGGTCGTCGCTCCTTAATTTTGGCCCCACGGCACCGGCAACATTCAATCGCAGTTCATTTAAGCCCTGACTTAGGACGCACCTATATTCCTTGAAAACGTCATGGTGCTTCACATGATTGAGGAGTTCGTCTGCGTTCCCAGGGGTTTCTCCGCAGGATGGTAGGATACATCGGAACACCTGCATGGAAAATCTTTGTCGCGTCAGAAGAGACGGATTCTCATCAGACATTAGACAAGACTCTCGGTAGATTCCCGGACATAAATTTTCTGCGATGCATCGATTTCAGGAAGGAAATCTCACCCGCTCGGATATGTGCGTTTTTAGGTGAGTCCTGAAATCAGCGTAGGTGGCGAAGGAGGTAGTTGAGCAGAAGCGACATTCGAATCCTTTATCCATGCTGTTCCCTGTAGTCGGAAACGGAAATGAAGCAGAGGTACATGAAATTCAGACCTTGACGGATTGTTTTCCCCACTCTGATCGCGAAGTCCTGAAAGCTCGACTATCCAGTGCATGCAACTCGCGGGCTATATAATTATCGCGATAGATGACGGAGAAAGTTCCGTAGGCAAATGGAGTCAGAGACAGCTTCCAGGCTAACGGGAAGATTCTATTATTCAACAGTTCTCCGGCTCAAAAATGTCACTTTGTCCTTCACGTACCTCTGAGCGTCTCTTTCGGTAGGTGTCCGGTCGTGGTGAAAGATTCTTCGTGGATGCGATGGGGATTCCAAACCATGTGGGTGACCAGATGTTTCTTGACGTTGCATTTCTGAGCAAACGCGAGACCGCAAACAATGCATAGAAAGGGCTTTTCTCCAGTATGAGATCTATGGAGACCCACAAGAAAATTAAGATTTCTAGTGAGAAGTTTCAGACGAAGCAGTCTATCTTCCTAGTGGAGTATCGAGAAGACGGTGTGCGGCACTCCAAGAGCTACCTCATGTGCTGAGAGAAATCGAAGTTCTTCGTAAACTCCTTCTTGCAGTGGGCACACGTGAAGGCTTTCGGCAGAGGTCTGCGCTTGTGTCCTTTTGCGGATGCCGCAATCGGACGTTTTTCGGTAGTGTCATCGCCGCTCGGAAAACTCGTCTGCGGCTCCACGTTGGATGGGAAAGCAGACGAATCGGGCTCCAAGATCGATGGGACCGCGTCGTTGCATTCATATAAATCTAAGGAAAGCAAATTGTGAGAAATCGAGTCCAACCTCAGAATGAACACCGAGTGATCAGCTCAGCGACGGGCACAGCTTAACAATGGACACGAATCCAACTCGAGGGCTTGGAGGCGCGGTATTGGGCACTCCCAGGAGTCCGAGATCACTCACCCGGTATGAATCCGAAAGAGACCGTCGGCATCTGGCGATCGAAGTACACTTGGTCCGCTGTCGGGTAGGCAGCTTCCGGCAACTGGTACATTGAATTCGAGGCGAACAATCGAGGATCTGCCGGAGCGCCGAACGTTGGACCCGGAGAAGGACATCTGAGGATGGAAATGTCTTCCCGGAGGATGGCATCTGCAAAGAGATGAGAATCACCCGTTGATTAATGAAAACGTGGCTAGCACTCGTTGCCCAACGTCGACCATGCTCCCATCATGCTGAAGTTCGGGAGCGTTAGAACTCAGCACCCATGGTGAGAAGAGGAATGAATTGGGGAATGGAAAGTTTCAATATTTCCAAGTGCAATGGACGCTCGTCCATGAGAACACGGAAAGAATTCCATCGATATTTCGAGTGGAGTTTCTAGAATTCGATGAGCAGATGCACGAATCTCTCTCTCTCGAATAATAATAATCGGAGAGAAAGCTCTGCCGAATCCCATGCATAGCGATTGTGAGCCTTCCGTGAGGGATCGTACCTGAGAGGTCCTCCATGCATGAGCTTATCGCTTGATCGTCGTCTGGAAGATTAGAAAAAGTTCCTTGATTGATGTCGGAATCTCGGCTCTTGCTCTCGCAGATGCACCCTCGAGCGCAGCTTCTGAAGGCCCTCGACATGGACTCACGAAAGGAGTAATCTTCCCACAGAGAGCCTCAGGACCGACTTAAGGAGCTAAAGGCGGGGAGTTCTCGAATAAGAGCCAACTCCGCCTAGAACGAATCTGATCAATTCCATCAGCCACGGAGTCATATACACAAAATCGCCGATCAACAGCGCGGAATCTCCCAGAGAGAGGGGACATCTTTTGGGCTACTCTACGAAAGGATCAGCTGAACCTACCTTGCTGATGGAGTCACAATGATTTCTTGCGACGACTCATTAAAAACTCAATCACGTCGAACGAATTGGAATGAATTGCTCGTATGAGTATGGGCCTTTCCGTCGAGCACGCGAGCGGAAAATCGTCGACATATTTCCGGATGCTTTTAGCGAACAGAATCTCGAGCAACGCCGATCTTGGAGAGACTCTGCTCTTTTCGAACGAAAACAGCGTGCGTGTTTGTTTTTCTCCCAACTTCCTCATCTCTCGGAGTAGAAGCCTCGCTGTCAGAAGCGGCTCGGCACAGCGCGGCGGTCGAGGGGTTCGTCTCTCCTTTACGTTACGATCTGAGGGTCACAATGATTTGGAGCGGACGTTTACTTTGGGGACATCGAGTCCGGGAATAGGAGATGAAACCCCGATCCAGATAGGAAGGCCGTCTCCCTCATCAGGATTGGGGGGATCATACGATTTTGGAAACATAAGATGCTCCGTGCAGTGAAGTCCGAACCCATGCAGATTCACGATCCGCAACACCTGTTGTTGAGAGCCCTTCTCCCATATGACATTCTGCATCAGCCCGGAAGCGCGGCGTAATCCCATGATCTGAATTCTTACACTCCTAGAGGAATGAATGATTCAGCCCTTTATTCGGGAGTTTGCATTGGCATATGGGTCTGGGAACACACCGTGAGAGGGACGACGAGAGATTTTCTGGACATCAGTAGCATCCGTGTGTAAACGCAAATGTTTCCCGGCTGGTCAGCTCCTTCTCTCAGTAGCTCTTAGCATGTTCTGAGATTATGGCGGGAGCTTTCGGATCTTCCGCTTTTCCCCTCTCATGATCGTGAGTTCTGGGTGAGAGGAATCACCATCATACGGCTCTAGGGAGCAACATTAAGAGGAGACGCTTCCCGCACTCGAAACAGCGCACAGCTCATTTTCAAGGTGGGTGATCAGACGACGTTTCTTGAGACATCCTGCTGAAAAATTCAGGGGCTCAAGATTCCTCCACGATTGGGATTCGGGTCCTCAGGACCGGCGGCAGAAGTCGTTCGATTCTCGATAGGCGCAGCTGATGCACGTGGCATGACATTGGGCTATACCGCCAGACGTCACTCGGTAGAATCAAGGTCGTACATTGGAAGGCTGTCACCGTAGCTCTCGGTAGAATATGGGCTCACTCTGACGCGAGACTACCGTTTTCGGACGATCTGCAATCTCGTCCCGTGGGTCGGAGTTTCGCGCTGCCTCAAGGGGAAACTCAGAGCAGACCAGGATAGGGAGAAGGGTTGCGAAGCATACCGACATCGTCGCGTCTAGTCGTTTGCGTGGGGAATGCCTCTGATGGGACAGAGCAACGCCGAAAGACACATGAGACGGCACGCCATTGATAAATATCCTCCATAATTTTCAGTTGATCTTGAAGCAAATCAAGTGAAGTCAGTCTACGATGGGTGATTGCGGCCGTGTTCTAAATTTTTCGGCCGGACCTTCCGCGGTTCCTCTGGAAGTTTTGAAAACCGCGCAGCGAGAGATGTTGAACTATGATGGATCTGGGTGTTCAGTCATGGAACTCAGTCACAGGTGATGACAGATTGCAGGATTCTTCGCATGGAATATTTATTGTCGAAGATCTCTAGAGCCGGTTTCCTTTGGAATATCGAGATCTTCGGCTGAGATATTTTAAAACACCAGAGGATTCGAACTAGACTTCCGCGGTGTATGGTACGCTTATCGCGCATCGTACGATTCCCCCACAGGTCGGCCACCTTCGACAAGATCATTAAGTCCGCGGAGCAGGACTTGCGTGATATCCTGAGCATTCCTCCGAACTACAAGGTTCTTTTCATGCAAGGCGGCGGTACAGGGCAGTTCGCGGCCGTACCTCTGAATCTCTGCCCGAAGCTCAAAGAACAGAAGGCGGATTACGTTGTCACTGGTGAGAATCTACGCAGAGTTGCTCTCGGGTGTTGAATCAACGGAGAATTTCCTTCAGGGAGCATTCAATTCACACTTCGGCTCGGAATCTTGGGGAGAATTCCGTGAGACCATCTTGCGGTAGCCCAGCGTGACTTTCGGCGGCATTCCGCTGTCTCATTATGTGTCTCGGTCGTAATACTCCTCTGGCAGGGTCTTTTCTCGCCAAAATCATGACGAAAGCGGCTGGTATCGCGCGAGTGCTCTCCGCGCCTTCCCGTAGATTATAAACCTTATCGTGAATTGCGATCTCAGGGAACCAGTTCGGTCTCGACGCGATGCTGCTGATTGTCTGTGATCATGATCACGCTCTCTCAATCGCACTCAGATAATCCTCATGATGACAGTGATAAGATTTTTTATTCTCTACGGACGACGTTCACAGACCGTCAAAATGAGGGACAAGATTCGAAAGTTTTCGCGGAATGAACGTGCAGTATAATCTCAAAAATTCTCGGGCAGTTTTAGTGGAGAATGCTCCAAACTGAATGCGTACGCGCTCGAAGAGGAGCGGCGCGGAAAACATCGCGAAAGATCAGGACCACAACGAGGATCTCCGATCTCGGTGACACCGCGGGGAAATTGAAGGCGATACCGGAGCGCGAATATGTGATTATTACGATCCATCTTACAGGTACTTGGAGTCAGAAAGCAGCTAAAGAGGCCGCATCGTTCGTTCAAGTAAACGAGGTGTTCCCCCGACCAGCAAAATTCGACAACATTCCGCCCGAGTCCGGATGGAAAACATCACCAGACGCCGCTTACCTCTATTATTGCGACAACGAGACGATACACGGTGTCGAATTTCCACGAGTCCCATCGGTGGACTGTCCCATAGTTTGTGACATGTCTTCCAACATCCTGACCAGACCGGTCGATGTCTCGAAGTTCGGTGTAAGTATCCCATGACTAGCTCAGCTATGGAGTACAGTCGCGATTGAGCTCCTCGTCCTAAATTCCGTCTAACCATGGAATCAGGTGATAATTGCCGGTGCACAGAAGAATCTGGGACCAGCGGGAGTCACTCTAGTCATCGTGAGGGAAGACCTCATCGAGAATCCCGCTTCGGTTTGCCCGTCGGTTTTGAATTACAAAATCACCGCGGACAACACATCTTTGTACAACACGCCGCCCACGTACTCGATTTACCTCCTCGGTCTGACGCTCAAGTGGATTAAGGAGCACGGCGGAGTCGAAGGCATGCAGGAACGCAGTGCGAAGAAGAGCAAAGCCCTTTACGACTTGATCGAGGCTTCGGAAGGTTTCTATGTGAATTCAATCAACAAATCCTGTAGATCCCGAACTACGATCCCGTTCCGAATCAGATGTGACGAGGCTTTGGAAAAAAAATTCTTGGCAGAAGCTGAGAAAGCCGGCATGATTCAACTGAAAGGTCATCGCTCCGTGGGCGGTATCCGTGCTTCAATGTTCAACGCAATGGAGGTAGAACAAGCACTGAGACTCATCGAGCTCATGAAGACCTTCAAAGCTCAGAATCAGTGACGTAGAACGAGGAGACACGTTTCGCGGATTGTGGTTATCCTCGAAGGACTTGGATACCGGCTATTAAAACAGGTTCTTGAGCGGTGATGAAACCATCAATCTGCGTTGTTTACATTGCTCCGCATACGTGAATAAAACTTTCCATTGGGAATTATCGTTTTCCATTATCGACAAGCAGGTGATGATTCTTCATGGCCTCCCGACAGGGGCGTGCCCAGAATTTTTCCATCGCGTCGATGTATAGCGTATAGCATTGCTCCGTACACGTCGGCCGCACAGACGCATCCCGCGCTGCGGCGTTCGATAGGGGAGTATTTTATCATACACCATTGTCGGACGCCCCTTGAATTGCCCGCGCGCTCGTTGGGGAACGAAGTTTCGAACCCCCCCTTAGCCTAGCCTGCGGTCATGAGAAGTGTTGGGCGAAGCCTCATCGGTCTTGGGGGATCGCGCACGGGGCTTCGATCTCTCTCGGACAGATCTATCAACGAATCAGATCAGCGGACGTAGGAGCTCGCGAATTTAGGATGACCCTCTGCTCGGACAGAAGTGAATACCGAGCTGAATGGAAGCTTTCGAGAAAAATCAACGATTCCCGATCTGGAAAAGACACGAGAATCTTCATGTTCCTGAATATCATCAGTGTTCCTCGTGGAAGGTGTCTCCTCCGAGAATACTCAACAGGGAGCGACAGCCCCGAGCAAGCTCTTGGAAACACGGGAATGAATACAACTTATCGAGGGGAAGAACGGGGTCATCTGTATTTTACACTATTGATAATACTTCCATCGCGTCACGCTTCCGATCCGTTGGGTAAGGAAATTATCTCCCGGAGCCCGTGACCGAAACTCCGTGGGCTTCATCGGCACCGCGGTCTGGTCATCATTCGATAGGGGGTGCTTTTTTTGACACTGATTGTCAGCTCACGACAGGGTTTCGCCTTTCGTCACCTGAGGAGGAGAAAACATCTTCAGGGCGGGATTTTATCGACTGGCTGCGCCCTCCAGGAAATCTCGACTAAGGAAAAATGAATGATCATCCTTCGATCCGGAACGGCTAGGGTTTTGGGACTCCTCCCTCCGCATCCGAGATTGAGCCCCACTCGCTCGGAGATCAGGATAAATCACCATGAGGAAATTCTCACTCTTGCTTCGAGGTAGTCGATCTTCCGCTCGAGTGCCGTGAGCTTTTCGTTGAGAGTTGCCAACCTCGCTCTGCAGGACATGTCTGCAATGGGAGTAGTTTCCGTTAAGAGCAACCGCGTGGTGAGAGCTTAGTCATACGGAAATATCCGCCAAGTCAGCTTGATTGTTCCCAATTCCTTCGTCTTCTTTTGGAATCAGTGAAAGGTCGGACTCCCCGATCGGTCCCCGGATTGATCGCAGATAGGCACGCAGGACTCATCACTTATCACCTCATTCGGCCATTCGGAGCTGTATATGAGATGTTTCAGAGACCAACCCCGTATTTCGGAATGACATAAGAATACAGTCTGCTGGAAGTCTTTTGAAGCTGGGCAACACTAACCGAACGATGTCAGGAAGTCCGCGATTTTCTTTATGCTACCGGAGATTATTTCAATGTACTCCCGGTTCGACCAGTCCTGTTGAATTCCTCGAGCGACCATTCCTCGCTCCATCGCGCCCTATCGATCCCGTCTCGGCGCGAAGAAATTCAGGGTAAGTTCGAAACTTGTTCCGGAGCTTTCCGCGGTAACCGTAGAATATTGGTTTCACACAGCTCGCAAGCTCTCCGGATGTCAACAGCGATCTCGAGCCTCAATCTGGCAGCAGCAGCAGGAAGGGAAGCCGCCATGTTTGTTTATATTCTGCGCGAGTCGTTCTTCGAGGCGGGAGGAGGAAAGGGACTCGCGATATCTGCCAGATATGTCTTTTAAAAATGGTGCTCACTCACCGTATACCTGTGTCATTTCATTCCTGGGATGCGAAAAATTTTTTCGTCGAGATCTGTGCAACTCACCTCTCATGAAGCTCAGACTCCCTTCGAAGCGTTTCTAGTTTGCTGCAGGGAATCACTTGTCACTCGCTATCTGCTAACATTAACTTCGCATTGCCCGATGGCAATAAATTGGCACCGTCGAGCACATGATCCGAGCTCGCGATTCTCGCATTCCTTCTCTCACGAAGACCGTTAATGAGTCATCAAAAAATACGAGTCGTTCGAGATTCCGCAATTGATGTAAAACGAGCTCCGGGGTTCCGAGCTTCCGGAATTCTAACGAGCGCTCACCCCCAGAGCCGCGGCTTTGAAGGTTCGCAGAAATCCGAAATCGCGATTCATTTTCGAATCGAACGCATTCGAGAGTATCCCTCACATCTCACTCATTCGGCGAGGGGTGCTGGCTTCATGTGACCGGAATACAGAAGTGTGCCGATGCTAGAAATCAGAGCACTGTACTGTGAACTCCGAGGAGCCGATACCGTCTGCACTTCTCCCGTAGGAACTGCTGTTGTGCGAAGTCCGCAAATCGCCGACGTCACGAACGGGAAGTGGTGAGTGTTCTGATTTTGTTGAGCGTCGAAACATCCTTGTGAGTCGTGAGTCTCGAACACGGGACTGCAAGGACGCAGCAAGTTCTTGGCACAGAGGATGTGCTGCAAATATTCGAGAGAGGTCCCAGGAACTCGAAACACTAGGCCGCGGAGCTCCGCTTCACCGATGGGGAACAGACCAATCCTCAAAGCGATCCAGCCGAAACCTGAAAGGCTTGAGACCTGGGATTGATCGCACTGGTCTCGTTTCCTCGCGAACAGAGCTGTCAACTTCAGATTCGACAACAGGAGAACTGTCGTTTGATGATGCTTGACGCACCTATGTCCAGCATATCCTTCAACAAAGAGAGGGAGCTGCTCGGAGATTTCATGCGGACTAGAGTTGTCAACATGAAGACGAGCAGGGAGACTGCAGATATTTATCTCCACAAAGGTCCCGGCGATCCTTGGCATCTTTCCCTCCGGGACCGAGGGTGTAATCGAGATGCACACCTCCTGTCTCTCGAGGAAAGCTGCCTCGATGAACGACAGCCCATCTATTACTATAAGCTTCACTGCCGAGATCGACGAGAACGACGATTGCGTGCACTCTCAGCTCCAAGTTCCCTCCGAACCGGAGCATGGGCATGCCATGGCCTTGACCAAGTCAAAGTGAAAAGACATGCGGGAATCTCAGTCACGGCGAATCGATCACAGTCGTCATTTAAATGTGCATCGACGGACAGAGACCAACAGCAGCGGTAGCTGGCGCGCGGGCGCAGTCGTTTGCTTTCTGCTAGAAGCCCTCTCCACGACGACCCGTGTGGCGCTGTATTCTCTCTTACGGTGATGGTGGTGGTGGCTTTGGTCCTTGATCACTGTGTTCAGCAGCGGCGAACGCTGTTTCTGTTGCAATTCTGATTTACCTAAACAAGTTGCGGGATATTCCCGAAACTGCACGCTTCCCAAGTCTCCAATGTAGCTCATGTGCTCAAGGGGCATCCGGTGCTATCGGCGAGTCGTTTCGTGGTTCGTTTAGCTATAATGCGGTGAGTCTTCCTCAGGCATGTCTAGACACTTATAATGATCATCATCATGGTGATTAATGGTTTGGAGCTTCTCGGCGAAAATCAATGGGGCCATATCGATGAGTATAATGTGGATCCGCATGCTCCAAGCGCAGGCTGATCGAGTGTGTGTGTTTTGCCTCCATGGGGGGCAAGCCAGCGATGCCCTCCCTGTCTCTCGGACCGCCCTTCTACCCCATGAGCGGCGATGTATCATACCTTTTCGTTCAACTCGAGGACTACGTAGTTCGCCTCAGCGTTAGCGGACGTCTGCCCGCCGTAGCTGTTGGCTTGACTTCGCAAGAAGCGTGAGGGTCGCGACGTGAACGTCACTTTCTTTCAAATTCCGGTCTGCGGCTCTTGCCATGCGTTAGTCTGATCCGAATCGTCGATCATTGTTGTAAACAAATTGTATACTCGCGATGGTCGGTTCTCGAGAACTTGAATCTTTCATCGCTGCCGGGCTCGATCCGGGGAGGCTGTATCGTGTTTATTGAACACATCTCCCCAGTATCTTCCTGGAAAGTGAGAGCGGCTCGTTTCGAAGTAGCAGGGGGTGAACGGCTATCTGTTGCTCGGGTCCGTGGGAATTTCACAATTTGTATCAATTGGATGATTTTGGATCTTGGTACAGTTTCTCGTCCGGAAAAGACTCCTCTGTCCCATAGGCTCTGTGTTTGAGTTCCTCGCCCCTGTTCGGATTGGCTACTTCCATGTTCTACTCGGAGCAATGTCCCATTGCGGTTCTCGGCTCAACGGCGGAGATGAGATCAGCTCGACTCCATCGAAAGACAAACGGCAACTTCTTTTCCGCCGTGCCGTGGCCGCTCCGCCTTCGTCGTGATGTTCGCTTGCTTATCTTTCTATGCTGCATTATCAGGTCGCTTCTTAATAGAGGCTGCTCTTAATTTCGACGGCAGTGCGAGATATCGTCGGAGCCACACTGAATTCTGGATCAGCAGGCTCTGAAGTCCAGCTCGGTTATTCTAGTCACCTGTGGAGGATGAGGAGAACTCGCGACCCTTGTCATTGCATTATTCTGTGCGAATCTCGCTCGCAGCTCGGCGCGAGAGACAGATATTTCAATTGGCTATTGGGAGTCGGTGAGGCACGTGGTTGCTTTATTCGACATGAAGCGCAATACGGCGTCGGACGCAAAGGCTTCTCCCTTACCGTCCTCAGTGCATCGAATCAAAGGTCTGTCCTTGGCATCTTCGTAACTTCCTGCTGTTAGACGCCAATGTCTGACGACGACAAGTAGTGACGTGAGGAAGCGAAGAACAATCTTGTTGGCGAAACCGCGTAAGGAAAAACCAGATTCGCTGCGATTCGGCATCGGTCTACCGTTATTTCACATTAGTCTAACAGCGGTGGCTAAGAGCACCAGCGGTGGCGTTCATGAAATGGGGAATCTAAGATGAGGAATTTGTGGTCGTTCACGATCCGCTTCGGTTTTTTCAAGCCCTCATGTGTACATGCACCGCTGGATCATTGTGCGGAGTGGAATATTTAGAGCTAGTAGCTCCTCCGGGAAAAATTGTCGAATGCGAATATGTATGGGGTATCCTCTGTTCTCCGCACATATGGAATCTGCGGATGGCGGAAGCATTTGACTCATGAGGATTAAGATCGACGTCCATGTTGATGCGCGCCTTCGGTTTCTTCCCTTGAGAGCAGTGACAGTTCGTTCATTTCCGATCACAATTGTGACGAGAATAGGAAACTCCGTTACACATTTGATGACTACTCGGATTCCATTGATTTATTCGAGACAATGAGTCGCCCGAACCATATTTCGCTGCTCTCCCGACTACCGAATTCTCGAATGTTAACCATCCTGGGTATGAACCCCGAACTTGCGAAATATTTTCTGTTGTCACTGCCAGAACTCAGTGGTTGCACTCTATTCCTCCGGCGATGACCGCCGCTGCCAAAAGAGTGCGAAGCGATTTTAGTTCTTTGCGCCCAATATGGCACTTGCTTCGCCTCCGTCAAAAGTCCACTAACGGTGCGCGAGTATGTATATGATGATGATCCAGCATCAAAGCGTCGGATCAGAATGTGTCTGGATGTGATGGAGATCGAGGATGATCGCTCATCCGGACATGAGACCCATCTGTAGCAGCGGAACTAGAATGCGGGTGGAAGGAGGCTGTGTCTACGCAAGACTTCTCCCCGACAGGGCTCTGCCCTAGTGCAGTGCACGAGGGTGTACATTTGGCCTCCAACGAGATATCCTCCATTGGCTTCTCAGGTTCGGAGTGGGGAAGGGTCGATTCTACTCCCGCTCAGATGGTGTGTTCAAATATCAAAGCTCTAAAAATTCATTTGTCCCACAGCTGACAAATCGCAGTAGCTGAAGCCGAAAAATGACTTCTCAATCACTCGAGGTCAAAATCGAGCTGGGGCACAAGGCCGTGTTGAAGGAAACACCGACAGCCGAAGGATACACGCATGATTGGACGGTGTTCGTCAGGGGGCCGGAGGGCTGTCGCATCGAGAATTTCGTAGAGAAAGTCGTCTTTCTACTACACGAAAGTTTCCCGAAGGCTCGAAGGACTCTTCGGGAACCACCCTATCAGGTGAGGCACGATACAGTTTTCGCCATCCGATCTCTCCTCCTCCACAAGGCAGGAGCACAGGGAAAAGAGATATCATTAATCGCGGTCTTCCACGACTTCCAGGTGTCTGAGAGCGGCTATGCAGGCTTCAACATGCCGATCATAGTCTACTTCAAGACGAAAGAAGAGCCCAAGAAACTTCAGTTCATATACGATCTCTACCTCTCTCTCGATGGGAAGCCGCTCAACAATATCCGGTGTGAGAAGCTCACATTCCATAACCCTCCGGAAGATTTCTGCCAGAAACTCTTCAAAGGCGGAGCCGCAATAAAGGATAATTCAGCAACAACGGCTGGCCCGTTGCTCGCTGTCTCTCCTGCGAAAAAGCCCCCAACGCCACCCCAGAAGAAGTCTCCGCATCTGGCGGGAGCGCCTCCAACATCATCTCAGTTCTGCGGCTTGTTCGGTGCGCCCATCATCAAAGGCCAAGATGCCAAGGTAGGCTCCTCGCTGAAACAAGACTCTCCCCCGCGTAGAATACTGAGGTATCGAGATGAGAATGGCGCTTGGAACTCCAAAATCGTCCCGAGAGAGTCTCGTTGCTCTTCTAGAGTCCTGAAATTTGATTTTCTTCCGGTAGGATGGCAAGAAGGAGAAACGAAAAGACAAAAAAGACAAAGACTACAAACGCGACAAGAAGGAGAAGAGCTCATCTGCCGGTGGCAAAGACGAGAAACCCAAGGAGTCGGTGAAGTCAGAGAAGCCTGAGAAGAACGACAAAGTAACTCTCACAGTAAATGCCAATGGCAAGTCGAACGCGAGCCATTCCTCGGTAAGTGCTCCATACTATTCTCATCACTGTCCATCGGAGGCCTCGGGTTCCAACGTGACCCCGTCTTATATTGGCTCATACGCATTCACTGATCCGCCCGTGCCTTGACCAGAATCGTTGCCCCTCTTACAGGACGCTAAGAAAGACGGTATTCGAGAGAAGAAACGTGACAATTCATCTAGTCCAAACCACAGAGAGAAGGACGAACTCAAGCGCAAAAAGAAGAAATCTTCGTCTCACAAAGATTCCCCCGAGTCGAAGAAAGTTCGCTTGGAGGAGCCCGTTCCTCCAGCTCCAGCGTCCAATGCCGCACCGAACTCAGCAGCGTCGACGGCCACGACGATGGTCTCGAAGTCCAAGAAGAAATCCCAAGGCAAAGAGTCTCTATCGTCGACGACGACGACGTCGACGACGTCACCGCCACTTGGAAACGCGAGCGAAGTAGAATTCACCCCGTCTCCCCCTGATCAGCGCAAGTCGAAAACCCTCAAAGAAGTGAAAAACGCCCCGAACGATGAGCTGAAACCGTCGCTGCCCCCACCGAAGTCTCAGGCTCCGCGACGGGTGTCGTCTCCCGCGGACACCAAGAAAAAACGTCCAACTTTGCAACAGCAGCCAACGAGCGTGTTGACCGCGTTGATCCAGGAGATGGACGCCGATGGGTCGTCACCCGAGTCTGAGACGGAAGCTAGTCGGTACAAGAGACTTTTCGCGCTCAAAACGAAGATAGCCAAATTGCCGAGAGAGAAAATGCAGCAGGTCGTCGATATCGTCGAGGAGTCGGGAAATTTCGAAATCAGCGACGAGTCCTTCGACTTCGACCTGCATGTCGCGGACGCTACAACCATTCACCGGCTCCAGCAACTTGTTAGTTAGCTAAGCGATCATTTAGCCATTTAGCCGTCGACTCTAGCAACAACCCAATCAACGAACGAATCAACGCGACGATCCTGGATGAGCCAAAACACACTCTCGCAATCGATTGCAAGGAAGGAAACCACCGCAAGGTCACTATGCCTCCTACTCCTAGCATCCTTCTCCCGCTCCTCAAAGGAGCGAAGACCTTTGGCATTGTATTGTCTCGATTGTGCATATCATTCCGTCGTTTGCCTTCAACGAACTTGAAGTTCCTCATCGGAAGTTTGCTGACTTTGCGCACCCAGTCTCGCGCCTTACACAGAAGATGACTCATCAAATGCCTCATACTCATTTGCCGATGATCTTCACCGTCGACTCCGTCAGGATACGTCAGAATGACACGGTTCCTGACAGCGGAGGAGTCCGAGCTTCTCAGAGACCGTGGTTGCGCCTATGTTGAGCAAGCCAGGTGAACTAGATGAATTATTATTACCTTGTCAATGTTGTAGTTATCGATCGATTCCGAGCATGGATGACGGCCGCTGATCCTTTCCTTCGGATGCGAGTCCGAGATGTTGATACTGATTGCTAGAGCGTCACATATTTCAAACATGCCAAAGTTCTCGAGACGTATTTCTAATTTTGTAAAAACAAGAAATATTACGAACTCCCTCTCGACATTTAGTCCGAACGATGAAAAGAGAATCGTTTTGTTCTCTCGGACGGAACTTCAGTCTGAGGCATTCTCCAGTGAGATGAGCTGTTCGATGATTATGCATCGATTATTCCGGGAGACCGCCTAATGATAGTGATATTGATAGAAAATCCGACGAGTCTTGTGCTGCTGCAGACGCTGCTCTCGCTCCATCGATGCTCTCTAGAATAGTCGTGTTAGTTGAAATGAATATCATGCCGCATGTCCGCTCCGCCGACTTGTTTGTGAGACAACGGCAGCCGGGGGCGAGAACGAGAAAAACCACATCAACCTCGATGAAATCATATATTCTCTATCCATTCGAAACTCGAGCTCTCTCTCCAATTCGGCTGGGATAGCGCAATTCGCCGAGGAGCGTTTTGCGTCGCAGCGGAACTGGAGGATCTCGAGCTCGATCCTCATGTGCTTGCCTCCGAAGTCGTCGAGCCCTGTTGACGGATGAGTAAGAGGGGGGAGATACAATCGAAATAATCATGGGAGTGCATCTTTCCGCTGAACTACCAGCTGGACTGAATTCAAAAATCGACGCGAAGTCTTCGGAAGGAGACCTCTCTTCCCTTCGACCAACGCAAATTCCGCCCCTTTACGGGGATTCACGGGAGTTGACGCAGGCCTCTCCCCAGATTCCAGATCGGCCTTGTTTGAAGGAAAACTCATGAGTGAGTCCCGATCGATCCGAAAGATAGGACAGACACTGAGACAAGCGCGACTCGGGTTCGTTACTTCAAACTCATTGACATAATGTGCAACTCATGGTGCAAATACTTCGCCTCCGATGAAGCCTACTCGAGGGAATGGATCAAGTTATGGTGAACGGCATCGCGATAGTCAGGGACGATGCCCTCCATTCCTTCAGTAGACCGCTCGTGGGTGGTTGCTCTTTGGTGGATAAGAGCCGTCTTCGGGCACCTCGGACGGAATCGGTCCGCTGCGACTTCCTTCGCTAATATATTTGTACATACCACAGTATTTATCTACCTTCGACGCAAAGAATGACCGAGAGGTCAATGATGACGAAAATGAAATAAAGCCAATCTACATGTTATTCGAGCATCACTTCTCTCCGCTCCATGTTTTGTTCTGTACCTGTATTGTCCTTGCTGGAAAATCTTCAAATGCTCCACTGAGCGCGACTTCCCTCGAATCTCCTCTCTGGGATTTTCTGTCGTCAAGCTGTCTGACTCGAGCGAAGAGCTCGAAGCAGACCGACCAACCTCCTCTTATTTGGACTCGTCGATCCCTTTGAGCAGGGGTGTTCACCGAAAATTCCCGACAGGCCGCCACGCGTAAACAATCACACGAGTTCGAGAGATTGAGCGTGCGACCCCATAATATGATGGGACCCCATCAGCTGAGCTGCATCCGCACACATTTTGATTGTTTCTCATCGACAATGAATCGAGCATGAAATATCTTTGAATGGTCGGAGACCAGAGCCCGCCATCACCTACATAACTTCTCGCCGTCTCTTTGAGCGCCACAGCCGTGGGAGCTGCTCTTCTTGGGTCTGTCATCGAAGAATCTTCCTGCCGAAAGTGAGCGGGAGGCGCCGAATCGGTCAACGAAGCCGAAGGCGCACCCAAATTCCGGGACCCTCTCTGGAGATCGGAAGTGTAAGCGTTCAGGAAACTCCCCGAGAATCCAGTTTGCGAACTCAGTTTGCGCGACGGAGTCGTAGCAGCGAATCAGAAGCAAGAGTTCGGCGTGCAGCTGATGGCCTGTATCAATTCAAGTGGATGCCGTCCGGGTTGGCGGATGCGCCAGCAGCTCTCCAACCTGATGGACAGGCTCATCGATCCTTTGGAATATCAGACTGACGCGAGTGATAGTTCTCGGAGCAGTTCTCGTGCAGATTCAGTATGGTGAGCAAAGACCAGATTTCTTAATAAAGCCGTCGTCTCAAGGCTTCGGAGGCGGAACGCCACTCTGTGGAAATGGAATGTTTGGCCGTAGAGTATTATTCAGAAATTCCATCCCTATCTATATGATCGACGATTTGAAGCGATGAGTGATGACGATGACAGACAGCATCTCCTTGGAATACCTCTGGAGCAAGGCCAATCTCTGCCCTAGACTCGTTCGACGGGCATTTTCTATTCAGGATTATGGTTTCGGGGTAGTAGTCCACCGTAAAGAGAGGGACGATGGGAACGCGGATGCTTTCCCCGTTTGACCATTGCGCCCATTCAGATTGAACCAGTAAATAAACAACTGTGCTTTCTGTCAGAGAAGCAAGGCATCGCCACAAAGAATTGGTGATCTGCAGCCGGTCGTACCATCCGCAGTACTTTTCGGAAAGTTCGGACTTGACTTTGTCGGGCCCTTAGATGTACCGGGAAAGCGGCCGGCTTACATCGTAATTGTCGACCACAGTACCCATTCGTCCATCCTAAAGTAACTGGACGGATTCCGGCTTCCTACATTGTACTCTCACTGGAAACCATGAGTAACCCGGTCGGGCATATCGGCACAGTTGCCACTGATAATGCGACCTGTGTCCGGGGGTTCATTTTCGACTTAAAGTTGGGTCAGAGATGACCTGACAACGAGCTGATGTGCAGGTCTGAAGATTCTCGGTCGATGGTGCTGACAATGAGATACTATTGTAAGACTGGCTTATCGAACCTCCTCCCTCCAAGGTCGCATCAGCCAAGGATTCCGAGAGAACAGTGTCGCGAACAAAGGGTGGACGGGTTGTGAAAACTCGTTTCATGAGTTCCGTAGGTCTCAACGGCCGATCAATGACGTATTTCCACGTCAAAACGGAGAAGATTTCGCGCTTCCAAGGAGTCAAGCCATGTGGTCTTTGACAGGGACCGAGATTGGGGAGTACATTCAGCAGCGTAGATGGACGGAGCGGAAGAGTGTCGCCCGAAGAAAGCGGCAGGTCGCGATTCTCCCGAATCAAATGAGTGTACGTACGTTGGCGAAGCCGGGGTGGATGTACACTAGGGAAATCACCGGATCCCGGGCATGCTTCCTTCCATGCTACCATGTATAATATGAAGATTCTTAGGGTTGAATCGTCTTGTGGACCTGTTGAGAAACTTCGATGATCCTCGGCTTCCCTATACCGAAGATTCTCAGGGTTGAATCCTCCAGTAGGTCATTGGACAAAATTCCTATGATCGTAGGGAATGCCGGCGACAATACCGATATTTTCTGTTTGGTATGGCGTTATTAGGAGTCGCATCGAGTCTTTGTCGATGGAATAAAGACTCGTGGGATGAAGGATGCTCTCGATATAGGCGTAGTGCTGAAGTGAGACTGCACTCTTATTTCTCAGATCCGGAACTCGTCAGATCCAGAATTTCACAATTCCTGAGCTTTTTAATTTTAGAGTTCCACCGTTCAGCATATTCAGGAAACGATTCCGGTGCTGACAGTAATCAGTCGGACTCTCACTGTCAGGCTCATCAAAGATATCGGAGGAGAGCCCAAGAAGCGCCCGGTTCCGGGTTCGGGAACCGTCGGTACGGATCAATGTCATCATTGGTGTGCGCTACACGCTCTCCGACGACAGTCAAGGCGCGCTGATATGCCGGCAGTCGGCCATGATGCTTTTCGAATAAATGACGTCAGTAGGACTTCGGCTGGAAGAGAATTTCTCAGCGCTGCTCAGGGCGGGACAGGTTACCACTCACCCAAGGAGCTCACTTATGGCTTCCTCCTACGATTGCAAGATCAAAATCGAGTTATTCTGCGGACTCATGGGAAGTCTCTGGTTAAGCCAGCGCTCGACGAGACCCAAGCTGAAGACACACTTTGGCGATGAGAAATTTTTTGGTGGCTCCCCTCATTCTCTCCATGACGATGGTGGACCCAGGCACGCGGGAAGATGCCCTCCCTGACCGAAGTCTCTCAAAAGAATCTGAGAGAGAAATTCCCCTTGATTCCGTGAATGGAAAAAATTGCGCCGCCCGGGAATCGAACCCGGGACGCAAGAATGGGAATCTTACATGATACCACTACACCAGCGGCGCCTCGACCACAGAGTGTGTCGCAGGCTGAGTCTACCCGAGCTCCGTATGGCTGCGCTATTCTTATCTGGTTCGGCGCTGTTGTCGATGCGCCTCAAACTCATACGAATTCATCTCTGTCTAACTAAATCCGGACGGGAACTCTGTTCACGAAGTTTGCAGAGGGAGAAAAGACCCGGTGGTACAGGAACTCTCCGGTCACATGTTTTATTGTTCCAGTCCATTGGATGCTTTCAGGGCATTAAATCTATTTTTCGAAGACAATTGATCTCACAAAATACGCAGTGTGGTCGGAAACGGTGCTCGTAGTGTTTCGGACTTCTGACTGAACTGAGAATGTCCGATTGGGAAAGAGGGCTGCGGAGGCGGCATTCTTGGTAAGGGCTCGGAGTCCGAGGAATATTCAGGGATCGCTATCCCGAGCGACAAACAGCTGGGAGCATGACGAAAGATCCACGTCGAGGAGATTCTTGGCGACACTACGCTCAATTGGGTTTCTCTTTGGTGCTATCAGCCCGAGGTCCAATATGGACATCATTGACTTTTTGCGCAAACCTTAGAGAATTTATTGTTTCATTTACGTCGATTTGGGCAGGCGATACATGCACAATCATCAAGGCCTTGGAGTTTTTTCCCAGCGACGTGGACAAGAGATGCGTCAGTTTTGAGTTTCGGTACGGAATGTGAGCTGCCTGCAATGGGGAACGTTGAGAAGGAGAGACACTGACACCGCGAAATTCAGAAAAAGTCCAAGATTCGATCGGAGACTCTCGTATTACCTTATTGCCGAGGCTCATGATAACGGTGAGCAGTTGAGTCAGGGAAGAATTGATTTTGCGGGTCTCAGTGAGCCGAATCCCTTCAACCTCGGATTGTTTGACTCGCTCTGATCCAGCGAGATCTACCAAATTCAGGACGCTCTCCCGCTCTGCTCCGGTGGAGTTGTTCTTCGCCCGTACGTGAACTCGGAGCACACAATGAGAACGAGAAGAGCGTCCGTTACACTTTGTTGTTCCCACCTTTCTTTGAGATCGAGCTTTCTCGAAGAGTCTCGCGGCGTAGCCCTTGTCGGCCACGGAAACGGATGACACATTCTCCAAATGAAGAATCTCCGTACGGTTCGAATCCGATGCAGCGATCCTGATGTTGCACTCAGTGTGTCTATTCAAGAGATCCAAAATCGTTTCATTGTAGATCTCGAGCATCGAAACTTGAACGCTGTAGACCCAGTCCTGGTCTCGACGATCGTGGATCAGGTTGAAGATCTCACAGAAAGCTCTCGGAATGACCCCGATGCGATCGTCACTCATGTCGTCCGGATTCGATCCCAGCGGACCCTCCATGGTGTAAGTTTTGCCCGATCCCGTCTGTCCGTACGCGATGACACAGACGTTAAATCCGTCTAGGGCGGACACGATCAGCTGACGAACTTCGTCAAAGACCTCCTTCTGTGTCACCGTCGTATCCAGAACCCGGTCGAAGCGATACGGTGTTGTAGCTATCGACCCGTCCTTGGAACTCATTTTCGTCACCGTGAGGGAAGTCGGAGTGTTCACGGAGAGACAGGCTTTCACTTCGCCGTGCGGCAGCGGTCGTACCCTGACGAATACCCGGATGTTCCCTTTCAATTCCAAGACCTCGTTATGGAGCGCCATGGTGCGTGATTCGTATTCGAGCATTTTTCTTTTGATTATCTCGTTTTCCTGAGTAGCGAAATCCAGCTCTTCCTCAAACTTCCTCGATTTCTCTCTCTCTATTTCCAGGAGATCCTCGAGCATTCGGTTTTCTGCTTCTTTGACGTCCATCAGTCTCCTCAACGCCAAATGGTCTTCATTGAGCCTCTCGTAACTGATGCGAAGCGTTTCGAGTTCCAGGTTCTTCGTGTCGAGAAGGGTCTTCGTTTGATCCAGGTCTTTCCGAGTGCGGAGGTCATCTACCGCCACCAACGATTCGGAATGATAGATTTTTCTGCAATGCATTCTCGCAGATTATGGAATCCGTCGACATTCTCTCCTCCGAAAATTACAACGGAACTCTCTCCACTCACTCCAGTCGAGCGATCCTCTCGCTTAGGCGAATGCTTTCCTTAGCCGTCTGCTGATTATCTCTGTTCAAACTTTCCACGACTGCTTCAGATGACTGCAATGATGAAGCGATGGAGAAAGTGCCTGCCGTCCTTCAACTTATTAGAAGCATGAATTCAATGATCTCTTCGAATGGCGACGATAATTTCTTTCGGAGACCTGGAGTTCCGGGAGAGATGTGGGAACTCTGGCGTCAGTCGAAGCGATCAGATTCACTCTACCTGGATGTGGGTCTCCAATTTCTTCTCCAGCAGCTCCAACCTATCACAAACTTCTTTGGACGAAGGATAAAGATCTAAAATATCGAAAAATGTCATTCGTACGTGCCACCTCGCCACTTGTCATAGTCTTGATTGCGGGACTCGATCGGTAAATAATGTGAAACAGCGTGACGCCTACCTTTGCTCAAACGAGTCGTCAATGCCGGACGAACACCGAGAGAGATCCTGTCAGACGAGCTTTGTCGTTCGCAACTCGGGAGGATTGTTGTGGGCGTCGAAGTTTTCACCGAAGATGGAAGTTTCTTCAGCGTGGTGCCAATGTTGCTGGTGCTGTCAGGAGTCTCTCTCCTGCTCGTGATGAAAGTTTTGTTCAGCGAATTGATCCGGCTCGTAACGAAGGTTCTGTTCATGATGTCGCTTCGGTTCGGCAGTGCTGGTGCCCGTTCTAGACATGTCTTCTTTGGCGACGCGGTGGGACCTTCCGGGAACGTCGGGGATCAATGATTCCGATTCCAAATCCGACTTATTGTTTAAACAGCCTCTGAGTCAGTCGATTCTCAGCTGGCTAAGAAATCTCAATCCGGATCGAATTATCAAAACACGCTCAGACCGGCTCACCTCCACCGAGACTAGTTTTGCTGAGTGATCTCTTGAGACGGGGCGACGGCATAAACGAAACCTGTGAGAGAAAATATGATGGAGTCGATGCCCGAGAGGAAGTCAGCGCGCATTCCAGCTCAAAGGGGGTGGCCGTGCAGAAAACTAATGAAACCTTGGGAGGCATCTTGCTCAGCTTTGATGGTCGCAAGGCAGATGACCACGCGTCCATGGTATTCTGGGAGATGTCCCTCCCGCTTCCCGTGGGTGAAGATTAGTATCTCGTTGACTCCCTTGAACTCAACAGCGTAGGAGAGCTCTCCGTTATCGTAAACAAAAACATGGGACACGTCCGGCGAGAAGAGAGTTTGCCGTACGGTTAGGCCAGCTGATTCACAGCGCGCGGGAATGGCACTCGAAGCATGAGTAGCAAGTGTTCGGGAAAGTCTTCGCCCGGGAAAGAGAAGACAGGATCGCCAGCAGTCTCCCGCGGGAGAGAGGAAATTCGTGCAGGGCTCGACGTCTAAGGCGAGTAGGAGGCTTCCCGGATTTTGAGACGGTTAGACGAGAATCCCCGTGCGACAGCCTTGGGGAGACATCAGAGTACGGAAATGAAAATGGATGTTCGGAATCGGGCTCAAGAAAAGCAGCGGATGGGGCGGGGAACTACGGATTGAAATCCCGATCGATACTTGAATTGGGGTCGACTCACAATCCCAGTGCCGACCCTCCTCTGTCCGATCCCTTCGGTACTCTTCTAGCATGGATTCGGGAGCACCAAGAGAAACGGTGGCTCGCATCTTCCTCCCGACATGCTGCTGCGCTGATCTTCGTCAAAAAGCAAGAGCCGAAGATTCCCGAGAGCCTGTATGGAAAAGCTCAATTTCGTTTCATCCAATATTTAGGAAGGACCGCGACAACTACTGAGCGTCGGGTTTGGAGCAGGTGGGTACTGGAAAAGGATCTACGATCGACTGCGCTGCGAGGGATTCCCTGGACTACGGAGAATTCCCGCGCATGCTCTGCAAAACATGTTGCCCCCTGCCCGGAATATGGTCAAGAGCAGTATATTCAGATCGTCTCGAGTGTCGGAAGGAGCGAATGCGGAACCAAATACACTTGGAAAGATTGATACACACGTCGAAATGAATTTTCTACCGACTGCGCGCACATTACACCACTTCCAGCCTATCATATTCCGGTGGTAGAGTACTTCCATTGTCCCAGAGAGGAATACTCGAAAAGCTCGGTCAAACGGACAATTTCACGGATAGACGGCGTGACATGAAACAATACAATTCCAAGTGAGCTTCCATTTCCCAAGAGAGAGAGTTGAGTTCACTGATAGTGTTGTGTCGAAGCCGCCGGTTCGCGAGCTCCCTGGATTACTCATGGATGTGCGACCACGACGGTGGATCATGTGGAGTCCGATACTCGCGGGCGTGGTGATCGTTTCGATATCGAACAGCTGCGTTTCCTTGGAAAGGGAGAACCACCTGCCCCTGCGAGAACTGCCGATGTCGAATCTCAAAAGTCGCAGTCGACGTGCGCTGGATCGACATGTCGAACTGGATATCAAGTCCGATACAGGGAAGAATTTCAAAGTGAGGGCGCGCCCCGCGCAGAACTTATTCGCACACAATTTCCGAGTCTTCGAAAATCACGGGAACGGCACGGTTCGAGAACATAATGTGGATACGCGCAAACTCAGTGAGCGCTACCTCGAGGGTGAAGTCATCGGAGAGCCCGGCTCCAGTGCGGTATTGCATCATGAGGGAAGTATCCTCAGTGGGAGTGTTTTCCTGAAAGATGAAGTATACACAATCGAAGATGCCGCCGTCCTCAACTACTCTTCTTCTGGAAGAAGGAGAAATTACGAGGCAAAAACTCGCTTGCTCTATGAGGATTCCGAAATAGACCGGATCGCTGAAGCTCGAGGCTGTCCCGTCGTGCGACGTCCTCGGAGATTCTACTCTTCCGGAGTCCATGAGCCCGGGCTCGATCTCTCGCCCGATAAAAAGCGCTGTCCGCTCCGATTGGTGGCGGACCACACGTATTTCGAAGTGGTCGGTGAGAGTAACCTCCGGAAGACGATCGATAAAATGGTCACTCAGATCCAGCGCGTCAACAAGATATTCAACGAGACGATGTTCATCAACGAGGAGAACGACGGCTATTTCAACATGGGTTTCGTGATTCGCGACGTCCTCGTGTTTCGTGAAGCGACCGAGGTCGCTGAGAACCGAGTGCATTTCAACATGGAAGGTTCGATTTCGGTGGAGGATATTCTGCACTCCTTCGCTACGGACGAGAGCACCGAGAACCAATGGGTCTGTCTGGCGCATCTATTCACGGCGAGGAATCTCGAGGGCGCCCTCGGCCTCGCCAATATTGGCCACCCGATCCAGGAACGAGGAATCTGCGCACGACGATACCTCGACAGCAAGGCGGGAAAGTTCATCGTCGAAAACGTCGGACTCTCAACGTCAGTCGTGATGGGCACGCGGTTGCTGACTCGAGTCTCAGATCTGACCGTCGCCCACGAGCTGGCGCATGGCTGGGGAGCAGAACACGACCCCGACAGCGAAGAGTGCATGCCACCGTCCTCCAGGGGAGGTTCATATCTGATGAACGCTCATTCGAACTTCGGTTTAGCTCAAAATAATCGTCACTTCAGTCCGTGCAGCATTCGGCAGATCGCAGCCATGCTGAAATATAAATCGAAGTGCTTCGTCGAGCTCGCGTCGGACCGATGCGGGAACTTCATCGTCGACGATGATGAGGAGTGCGACATCGGCCCGATCAAGGACAACGATCCTTGCTGTTCGAAATCCTGTAAATTGAGGTCGAATGCGATGTGCAGCGACATGAACCACGCGTGCTGCGACCAATGCCAATACGCGGCTGCGGGAACGCTGTGCCGGGCACGGCTCCCATCCGAATGTCTCGGCGACGCGTTTTGCTCCGGCGAAACCGAAAGGTGTCCCCGGCAAAGACCCGTCGCAGACAACGAAACCTGCTTGGATAAGGGAAGCTGTAGGGACGGGGCCTGCATACCGTACTGTGAGTCGCTTGGCATGATATCGTGCAGATGTTACGGGAAACTAGAGTGCCACCGCTGTTGTCGTATCGCCAGTCAGTCTCAATGTTTCCCCATCGAGCCTTTCGACGCTCTGAAAGATGGAACCATGTGCTCCGACGGCTTCTGTAAACACGGCTCATGTAAGAAAAAAGTGCAGGATATCGTCACGCGCATCGTCAGCATCTTGCAGAAAGTGAGCCCGTCCTGGATTTACGGGATTATGAAGCGTCATTGGTCATCCATCTTGATCCTGACGCTATCTCTGGTGTGGTTCCCCGTTGCTTGCTGTCTTCACCTCCGCGATAAGCGAAAATATAGTTTCAGTGCGCAACCAGTGTTGCGAAACTCTTTGAGATACTCAAGACACTCTCTGAACCCACGAGCTTCGATGGGACAGATGTGTGACACAAGCTTCGATTCCTCCGAGTCATGAAAACCTGTATGATGGCGATCTCTGAGCGTAGGACAAATCTCTGTTAGGATCCGGAGTGAAACGAACTGTGATCTGGGGGGGAACAAGGATGAATGGATTGAGCTGACTTGAGGACCGGTCGAACTTGTGGCTACTTGAACACGGGACTACTTTGAGCTCGTGGAAAGAAGCGAAACTTGAAATGATGTGATAGGATGTCGCGAGGGAAGTGTACCCTTGAGGGGTATCAGAATGGAAACCCCAAAAATCGTTCCGGGACGAATGGAATAATGCGAAGATTGTATTGTTATTTATTCAGAAGAACATAACCCGAGGACCAGAAAAAATGAGAGCTGGTTCTCTCCCGTCCCCGCATATTCTGACAGAATAAAACGCCGCTGATTTCCCATTCGATTCCCAGGCTCACTCCTATAATATATTGATGACAAGTAAACCGTTAAATTTCCCCCGAGGAAAAAATACCCCGAGAAGGATGCAGAGTGCCAGAGGATACTCTTCTCCAGGTGAGAGAAACCCACCATCAGATTCACGAACCTTGCTCAAAGAACTGCAACATTTGAGCCGATCGCTCAAAAGAGTATACTCCGATGCTGGAATTAGGTGACCACAGAAAAAGGAACATATCTGGCGATGGTGACGAGCCCGCCGAATGTTATCATTCTTATTTTGAATCGAACGCTGTGAACTAGACAGAGGAGGGTTGCATTCGAAACGATCGCTAAACGAACTAATCCCCGGAGAATCCGGGTCTCTTGAGTTGTTGGTCGCCTCGATTCATCCGCTCATCTCACGATAGTTGCAGGGAGGGACTCATCTCGCTAGTACTGAGGAAGGAGCGTGTGATGAGCTGGAGCTACGGCCGGAGCTGTCTCTCGAATTCGAGTCTCCTTCTCGAATATAAGATACATAATCATTGAGAGTGAAAATTTATAATGTCATTTCCCAGACTCTCCAATCACGTTTTTATTGGCGCGATTTTACAGGAAGTTATCGTATATGGTGAACCATTTGATTCGCTCGCTCAGGGACTATCCAAATCCAATCTCCTCTCCGAGAGATGAAAACTATTGCGTTCCGATTCACTTTCAATCATTTGCTCACATCGTATATGGCATAAATAAAAATCGAATTTGAGTCTAACACAAGTTTGCGCCGCTGCAACGTCCTGGATTGCAGCACTGAGAATCGATTATTGGAGCTGCATCAGCCTGAATCGTAATCTTGACTTTACAGCACCTCTTCTCCCTGGTGTTCACGTAGGCGTGGTAATACCCTCCTCTATCGGTTTCCTGAAATGAGATCAGTCTCAATTCTCGTGCGCGTTAGCACTTCACATCATCATCACCGACATAGATTCCAAATCTCGATCCGCAGGCGGCTCCCACGGACGATGAATCTCACGATCAGCCTCGAAGCCTTCGTCAATGATTTGCTCTCATATTCGAAAATAGGCGTCTCATCTGGCATGCAAGTATGTCAGCGATTCCGTCACAGTGAGATGCAGCAGAATCGCTTGAAAGGCGGTCAGGTTCCTACATTTGGGAACGATTGTCTGTCTAGAATCTGGAGAATGATCGAGTCGATCATTACTCAATTAGATGGCCTTGGAAAGTCGATGCACAAGGAGGAGAAGCGTCTCAGTCATAAACATGGCTCCGCGGGTCCGGTGTCCCAGAATATCGCTGCCCGGATTAGAATAGCACCAGGGTCCCGTCATAGACCCTTTCGCTCGACGTAGCACCATAACTTGATTGCTCATCGTTTGCTAACACATGACTCACGAGTAAGCACAGAAGAAGACGATCCATTGAGCCAAACAAGAGGAAATTCATTTTACTCACCCCTGAGAGTCGCTTATCAATCTGGAACACCGTCGTTTTTTCTATGTCTATAGGCTCCCCGTTCACCGTCATCACAATAAGCGCGAAAACTCCGAAGACCGCCAAACTTGTGGAGCGCATGGTTCTCCTGAAAATAGAATCCAGCCTCCTAGCCTGACTTGCGATCGGGACTCTCGCGATGAAAATTTTCGGAGGTCCGAAATTTCCTCAAGCTCTCGAGTTCTGCTGAACTTCAAGACAAATAATTCCGCGATTCGTTGGACGAGAAGAGCGGAAAATTTTGTCGACGATAAGGCAACAGAAAAAAACCTACGTCAAAGTTCGGTCCCGAGTATATGTATGAGCGATGGGCCGGGAACTATTTTCCGGAACGATGTGTATCGCAGTCCGAGGAGAATATTTAAGCATCCAATCTCTCTCTCACAGTCGGGGAAAGAAGTGAAGTGATGCGAAGAACGCGAGTGAGGATCCACGACAGCGAAATTGGCATCCTTTTCGTTTTGGACCATTCTACTCCATCGTCAGAAGTGCCACTTCTGAAGTCAATGATCTAGCTCGCTGGAAAATTCAGATCGAGACAGCTGTTCCTGAGTTTCGCTCTGAATGCGACCCATCCGTTCGGAAGCTACGTTCGATACAGGGTTTTACGCCCCCGTGGACATTTACTCTGCCCCTACGTAGTTAGCGTCCGCTCGGAGCTCATTGTCCTGAGCTTTCTAGGAGGGTGATGAATTTTTCTAGGTAATCGGCTCTTCAAACCATAGCTGAAAATTCTCCCGCCGTCACCCATGTCCCAGCCGTAGACATCCGACCAGCCGCGCCGGCCGCGCAGCGATCTGACAGCTAAACGATCGATGGCCGTCGAGAAGAATACTTCCAATCGGTATAATGATACGGAGGCGGCGGCTACCGTCGACGTCACGAGCTGCAGCGCTGGCGCTGTCCGGGTGTCATTTTCTTCCGAACCTGAACCGCGAGGTACATTCGAATGAGAGAAAAAAATTCTGGAGGCAGCTTTTCTCCCATGCGAACCTGTCCGGAAGTTCCGCTTATCATTTCTTCGTGAATTAAGACGCTATGCTTCAGAACTTCTGTCTGCATCTTCTCCCGCTTTCGGGAGAGATTATCCCGCGATACTGAAGATGCTATAAGCAATACTGCCGCTTCTTACAGGGGATGCCCGCCTGCCGAGCTCACTTCAATTTGCTCGACGCCAACGAGAGCGCCTTGACAGAAAATGAGGTTCTTCCGCGAAAATTCCGAACCTGACAGGCTCTTCAGCAACGGTGCAAGCTCGTCCGTCTCTCTCACGAGACCCAAGCGGGCACAAACCTCCCGAGGCGAGCTCTGACGGGCGCTCGGTCGCGCGTCACAGGGTAGCGTTTGTTCCGTAATTGAAACGCAGCACGCATCACAAACCCGCGCTTATTCGATCAGTCATTCGCGTCGGAGACTGCGCCGTCGAGATGAACCTTTGTATTCTCCTTGTTTCCCTCCTGTTCTCCCGCACGGAATGCACACACCATAACTCCTCCACTATGTGAGCATTTTACTCGTCACAATCCTTATATTTTCCGCTTGTCAAGCCGCGTGGGAGGGAAATCAGGCGTGACGAGATTTCTCCCATTGAAGGTGTCAGAGATCGACGCGCGCCGTGCCCGAGCAAATGGACATCCGATCGTATATCATGGAGAAGTACGACAAGAGGATTTTCGCTGGAGACCGTGAGTGGAATTGTACTTTTATCGCTATATCAGTGTCCATCAGGCTTCTCTCGATCCGTGGATGACAGCTTACGGATCAGGAGTCGCGTGAGAACACAATTATTTTTCAGCAACCACCGTTCAGTACCATATGACGCTACTAGCAGTGGAATATTCGCAATTAGCTTTCGAGCTAACATTTGTTCAAGTTTATTCTTGGCGAGATCTCCGACTCGCCTACTTGAAAGGACCATGGCTCACGCAGTCGGCTGTGAGTTCTCGGTCATTCATTCGGTGCTCCATCATTCGATAATGCTATCCGACTGACTAGATGTAGTGATGAAACTGATTCGATTCAAGAGTACACTGGAAATCGAGCATTCTGATGTTTGGACACCCACGATCGCGCTACGGCCACGCCGATCCGTACTGCAACATCGGAGGAGAACTGTCCTCAACTTCAAGCACTTCGATAATGGGACCCTCAATGTTGTGGAAAGGTTCAGACTCCGTTCTTTCTGTAGATTGAATCCTCTTCTCTCCGCGAGAGCCGATTGCGAGGATTTCTTCGCTAGAACAGATCGAAGGAAGAAGAGAATCGAAGCAGCATATGTTCTTGTCGTCGCTGCTGTCAGCATGAATGATCTTCCGAAGAGCAATCACTAGCTCTGGATCTGATGATCAACTATATTACAGAGTCAATGCGGGCCTTCTGTGCGAGAGCAATTACAGAGTTTTCCCTTTCGACTGGCCCCGTTGCATGCTCGAGATCACGCTGGACTACAGTCGGGGCAAGTGAAATTCGGTATTCCGTATCGACTTTAAGATGGAAACCATCGAGAGAGGAATTGGATCCAGATGGCTAACTTGAGATGATACGGAGCTCTTTTCCTCCATAGATGCAGATCTCGACAGAAAACTGACGATGAACTTCAACAAACTAGCGCAGTCCTCAGGCTTCAGAGTCCAAGGGGCTCATTTGTCGTCCGTGGGATACTCGTCGTGCTCGCAGTCGAGTAAGTTCAATGTCCTCCTAGGCTCGAGAACTCTGTCGAGAACATTGATCTGAAGATCCCTCCGAGTATTCCTACCGATACCATCCTCCCTTGCGGGAGCCGTCCGTTGAATGGGATGCTTCGAGCTATGACCTATGTGACATTAGTCTGTACTCCATCATGTTCATTCGGCAAGGAAACGGGAGCTGCATCTGCATCCAGTTCGTGTTCTTCCGGGAGATCTCCTTCTATGTTTTCAACGGATTCTTGCCATCTGACGTGGCTGTCACCTCGTCTTTCATGGCATTCTGGATAGATCGGTCGCACATACCGCCCCAAACTTCAGCCAGGTACTGAGAGATTCCCCGTGCTTGGACCAGCTGCAGAGAAAACATGATGATTAAGCGCCGTCCCTGCGATGCACTCCTTTTCGCAGGTGTATCATCGGCATGATGACCCGTCTTGGTTTCCAAGCCATCTCTTCGAACCTGAGATCACAGTTACCAGTCCAGCAGGATTTGATGGCTCTCAATGTCTGGGAAGCGGTCTGCATCATATTCATATACTTCTCGCTCATGGAAACTTGGTGAGCTTCCGACCAATGCCCCGGGGCTGGGACTGGATGGATGATCCTGGATCGCGAAACTTGTCCTTCCTCTAATCGCACGGATTTCCAATCGAGAATCTCATTCCAGCTGCGTTTGCTACCTGGTCCGTACGTCAACCCCGGAGGACACGGTGGACCGCAAGGAAATCGCGAGGAGAATCGAATGGGCGGCACGAGTGGTCATGCCGACGCTTTTCTTCATATTCAACGTGATCTATTTCGCGATTTTCATATGGGTCCAATATTACGAGGGAGAAAAGCGTGACTATTGTTTGTGAAAAACGAGACGATCAATTGCATTCGGACCTACGTCGTTTCATGCAATCCGTCGCGATGTCCTATCGATCTTCGCCCCAGGTTCTTACTTACGAATATCCTCGCGCAATCGATATCTCGAGAGATACGTTCTATCCGTCTCCAAAGTGAATACGAAGCCACTTCTATAGAGCCCCGATCATCATAAGGAGTGCAACATCGAATTCCGTGGCGGTACCGACCAGACCGCCATTTTTTTTCTATTTATTGCGTAATTTAACTCATATATATTCGTTGATGCTACTATGACTATGATATCGTGAATCATGATGGATTCCAAACTTCCATCCTCCCAGATGCAGAGAGGTTGCACGGGCCGACTGTACACAAATGCCGAACGCTTCTCAGCAGCGTATAAGGGAGTAATTCCACGCCCGTCTCCCACGGTCTCTGATCACCCTGAACTATCAACTAAGTCCTGCTAAATCTTCTACTTATGAAGAGCTTCCTCATGCTCTATGATGGAGTTCTGGAAACACAATCTTTGCCGTCTCCGAGCTTTCAGCTCAAGTCCTATGCCGGGTATGCATTATAGGTATTTACACAGTCTCCGCTCTAACGCGACGCGGATCCGCTTCTAAGGACTCCTATGCGAGCGGAAGGAGCGCGTTTCCCTCAGTAGGCTTCTCCTCGGATTCGACGCGCCAATCGAATGTCTCTGGGCATTATAGTCACACGCTTCGCGTGAATGGCGAGCAAGTTGACGTCCTCGAAGAGGCTGACGATGTACGCTTCCGAAGCCTCTTGAAGAGCCATCAGAGTGTCGGGGTGGAAGCGGAGGTCGCTCTTGATTTCTTGTGTGATTTCACGAACGAGACGTTGGAAAGGCATTTTGAGGATCAGGAGCTCGGTCGACTTCTGATAACGACGGATCTCTCGCAGAGCTACGGTACCTGGCCGGAAACGACGGGTTTTCTTGCCAAGGTCGGTCGGGGAAAGGCTCACGCGACCTGCCGGGGGTCCGAGTGGTTTTCGTGGAGCTTTCCCCCCGATAATCTTCCGTGCGGTTTGCTTCGTTCGCGCCATGACGATCGATGATAAGGCTCACTCAATCACTTAACGCGAGTCTCTGTCATGAAGGCCGTCCGAGATCTTGAACGAATGTGGCACAGAGACACCTATCTGCAGCGCCCTCTCACAGAATCGTCTGCCGTTCTCGATGCAAGCAGTGTTTTCTGACAAGTGCCATTTGGACGCAACATGCACACTGCCTGCTTCTCTCTGCGAATTAGATCCGCGCCATCGCCAGCCCGAAAAAGATGGTGCCCGAAAGTAACTTTTCTGCCGGGAAATTCGAGGAGAGCGAAAGCATCCGACGATCGTTAGAGATGAGAGCTTAGGCCCTCCCGGCTGAATGCATATTCTCCTGAGAAGGTCGGCTATTACATCACCGTGTTATCTCCGAGTCTCAGAGATAGATAGGCTCAAAAAAAATAGGATCTTCCGAGACTCTCACTGCTCCCCAAGATCCTCGGGGTATCGACGCTATCTTCGTTGTTCCGCCCTGGGAACCCACTTCGACTTGCCTACGACAGGCATCTTAGGTCAAATATCCTCCAGTGACGCTCATCACGACTATGCTGCCCTTCTCGAAAACCACTTAAGGGGCCGAGACGTCGAGGTCCAAGGCATGCGATTCTTCCCATCGATTCCGGACTCCCGCATGAAAGACGCACAGTTCTCCGATAATCCAACGCGCCCAGGGCCCTCTAGAACTGCTCTCTGATAAAAATTAGATTATCAAAATATTTTTCAGAAATGCGACGCAATACGAGAGTGTGAAAGTCAAAGACCTAATCTGAGGGAGCAGGAGCCAGTCAGGACTCGACAATGAGTCTCCGATCGCGAATGGACGCTTCAAGGGCGAAATGGACATTCACAGTCCTCTGCACTGCGGCGATTAAGGAATCAGTTCACCTAGTCTGTCAGTTTGTGAGGCAGAGATCTTCTATAGGTTGGTGGCCCTGAGAAGGGCCGTTTTTTTTGGCGCGAGAGCTCAAGCCAGTTTAAGCCGCAGCCTTGTCGGTTTTCTTGGGAAGGAGAACAGCTTGGATGTTGGGCAACACACCACCTTGGGCGATGGTCACTCCGGACAGGAGCTTGTTCAATTCTTCGTCGTTACGGATGGCCAATTGGAGATGACGAGGGATGATTCTGGTCTTCTTGTTGTCCCGAGCGGCGTTTCCTGCCAACTCCAGAACTTCAGCAGCCAGGTACTCAAGCACGGCAGCGAGGTACACTGGAGCTCCGGCTCCGACACGCTCAGCGTAGTTTCCCTTGCGGAGGAGACGATGGATACGACCGACGGGGAACTGGAGTCCCGCGCGAGAAGAACGTGTCTTCGCCTTCGACTTGGCCTTTCCTCCCTTACCGCGTCCAGACATGATCTCAAGTCAGTTTTGAGATTCGACGAATAATGATTCTTCGTCGCGCATCCTGCTTTATATACGGAGCCGCTCGGGCACTTTCGGCAGCGCCACTCAACCTCCTCTCCACAAGGCGGGCAGAATCGGCGCAGATCTCGCCTCACCTGAAACACTCAAATAGGAGCGACGCGCCGACGGCACTCATACTCGTTTGAGCTCCATTCGAACGATGCCACCTGCAGCGAGCGGAAAGGCTGTGAAGAAGGCCGGGAAGGCCCAGAAGAATGTCCGGGCGACTGACAAGAAGAAGAAGAAGCGCAGGAGGAAGGAGTCCTTCTCCATTTACATCTACAAGGTCCTGAAGCAGGTTCACCCCGACACCGGTATTTCTTCGAAAGCCATGTCGATCATGAACTCGTTCGTCAACGACATCTTCGAACGCATCGCTGCTGAAGCTTCTCGCCTGTCCCACTACAACAAGAGGTCGACCATCACCTCCCGGGAAGTTCAGACCGCCGTGAGGCTCCTCCTCCCAGGAGAGTTGGCCAAGCACGCCGTCTCCGAAGGTACCAAGGCTGTCACCAAGTACACCTCGTCGAAGTAAATAGTGCGAGTCGTTTCCAAAACGAAAAAACGGCCCTTTTCAGGGCCACCAAAGTCTGAGAGATCAACTGCCATCGAGCGTTCCATCTAGGGTATCTGAAACACTTGTAGAGCTCGTACGAGCTACTGTGAGGTTGCGTGGGTCGAAATAATGTGAAGTTTTGTCTCGTCATTCGAGCGGCAGTCTCTGTGGGTCGAGGATCGAGTCGAAACTCGGGAGGGTCACACATTTCGTATATTTGGGATTGTTTCTCATCGATGCCAGTCCAATGGCTCTCGCTTCCCATCAGACCTTATGATGCGGGACGAATCAACCAAACTCGAGAGAAGCGATCCCGTAGAGTATAATTTCGCTGGCTCAGATTCATTGATTGACTGGCTAACTAATTTCCCGAGTGTTTGAGCATCGCTCGTCTCATAACACGATTCATGATTAAAAAATGTAGCCTCGGAAGCTGACCGATGAGGGCGAACGGAGGAACCCTGCACAGCCCACAAAAAGATCGAAATGATACTGCGCATCGATCGCTTGTATGTCTGGTACCCTGCGATTCGCGATGCCGGATGCTGGTTAGCTTGAACTTCGAGGATACCATTTTCAGAGGTGCGAAAACGGAGGACGAGGATAAAGAAGGCGCCGCGCCGTCGCGTCGAATAGGGATGCGGCATGGCTGTCTGGAGAAGAGATGCCGATTACGAGGAGGACGCGAGGGAATTAGTCACATTCACAATATGCTGTGTGATGGGGATTCAATCCTACAGAAACCCGCGCAGCGACCCTACCCGTATCACAGATGCTGTTGAATTCGATCGGATGGAGATACGCATATGGCGGAATCAACGAGAGTGCCCCAGGATTGAATCATCCGTTACTCGGAATAAGTCACCATGAGAGATCTGCACCACGAGGCTGATCTGAAAATTTCTGATTCGCCAGAGCCGAAGTCGGATAATCGAGACGAATCCCCAGATCACAGATTTGCGCCCTGGGTGCGCTAGATTGACCAAACGTTGAATTCATAATCTACGGCTCTCTCCCAGCGGGCAGGTCATGACGGACCGTATCATCCCCGGCAATCGCTGTGGCCTCTTTCGGAGGTGGACCACATTCGAGACTCGGGGTGGCGACAAGCAAGAGAAACTAGACGAGTTATTCGTCATCATTATGATGGCCTGACTATATATCGAGCCGGAGTCGGGCCCAGTCTTTGTGATCACTGATAGAACTAGACAGGCGCAGAGAAGTTCCCGACTCGCGACTTCTTCCCTTCCCATTGGCAACTTCCCACTCGCAGACAGTTGCTTCATGTTTCCTACTTCGTATCAATCTGATTCGGACTCTACCCGGCAAGAGAATGTCGATCTTCTACAAGTGGGTGGCCCTGAAAAGGGCCGTTTTTTTCAAGTGGCACGAGCGAATTACTTAGGCGCGTTCTCCACGGATACGACGAGCCAGCTGGATGTCCTTCGGCATAATGGTGACACGCTTGGCGTGAATGGCGCACAAGTTGGTGTCTTCGAAGAGACCGACGAGGTAAGCTTCAGAAGCCTCTTGCAGAGCCATGACGGCTGAGCTCTGGAAACGGAGATCGGTCTTGAAGTCCTGAGCGATTTCACGAACAAGTCGCTGGAAAGGCAACTTGCGGATCAGGAGCTCCGTGGACTTCTGGTAACGACGGATCTCACGAAGGGCCACGGTACCGGGCCTGTAACGATGGGGCTTCTTCACGCCCCCGGTGGCCGGTGCGGACTTGCGGGCAGCCTTGGTGGCCAACTGCTTACGCGGGGCCTTTCCTCCGGTGGACTTACGAGCGGTTTGCTTGGTACGAGCCATAGCGACGCGTCGAGCTAACTCAACAATGAGTCGGCGCCGATCTTCGAGCCGCATTTATGTGAAAACGACCGGGGATGCCGGTCTCTCTCTCAAGCGCCACCTGGTGGCAATCTTCTCGCGCCTAGCTCACAGCGTCTGAAAGAGACATGACGACGAGAGTACGAGAATTTAATTGGAAATCGGCATTTTCCGGTGCGTTTCTCCCTGAATTCTGAGAGTCGGCCTTCCCATATCAATCGGAACCAGCATTTCCCTTGACTCGGAGACGGGTTCCTCGCCTATCGAATATGATTCCGAAGGCCGGGTCGAGAGGATATAGAGCGATGGCTCGCCGAAGCCATGAAAAAAACATCGACGACTGGAAAGAAATGACGGTGCAAGCACAGGGAACGCGGGAGGAGTCCTGACCCCTCGGCCCTCGAGCAGTTCGCAGCGCGCAGCGTCAATCCTCTGCCTGTATAATTCGGAGGAATCTGAAGATGCTCGGTGCAAACGCGATTTCGATGAGGATGAGAAGTCCAAGCAATCACTAAAGTTCCGCCGATATTGGCTCCGACTCGCGCTTGACATTCTAGCCATGGATATCTAGCGACGAGAGGATCGACGGTCGACGCCAACGATATTTCACGAGGATGTAGCCGGCGCCATCTGAATTAAATTCTGATTATCGATCGAACATCATTCCTCGATTCTGGGCTGCCTGCAGGATTGACGGGAAAATCCATGTCTGATTTTATAATCATTCAAACTAGATTGTATAGACTATGTCATGCGGACAGCTAGACCAAATTGTATCCCTTTCAGTTAGTCTTCGTCGAGGCCTTGGGCGCTCCAGAGCCCAACGGTCGAAATATTTGAATTCGACCACGTGGTTCACCGATGCTACTTTCGCGCCTCCGCTCCTCCTCTCCTGTGGGCGGTCGAGAGCGCCGAGGTGCTCTCCACGGCTATATAATTCAATCTCGACGCTTCTTCGCCATCCTGTTTCTGATCTCGAACGAAACATGTCTGGACGCGGCAAGGGAGGAAAAGGTCTCGGAAAGGGTGGCGCCAAGCGTCATCGTAAGGTCCTTCGTGATAACATCCAAGGTATCACGAAGCCCGCCATTCGTCGTCTGGCTCGTCGTGGTG